CTCAGAAAACCGTATATCAGAAGTTTAAACTCATATGGTTTAAATCGCATAATTTCCGCGCGATAAACATGATAATCAGAACCAAAACAGATGTTTTTTAGCAGGTCTGAGCTGTAATGGAGCAGCTCTATTGTGGAAAAGGGGGCGGGGAGCAGCAGCTCATTTGCATTTAAAGACAGGCCCGAAAAACAGCAAGTTTCTGCTTCCACTCAAAATAGGCATTTTCAAAATGATATTATAAATGATCTGTGGAATATTTTGAGCTGAAACGTCACAGACACATTCTGGGGACACCAGAGACTTATATTACATATTGTAAAAAGGGGCATAATATGTCTCCTTTAAGGTAATGTTTAGATCTGACATTAACTTCTTGTTGATCGGAGAATTTTAAGCTTCATGCTTATATATTTAGTGTATTAAATGAGCTACATGATTAAATATAATATATATTTATTAATTTAGCAGACTTTGTTTTGCAGAAAATATCTGTTCCTCGTTATTGCCTGTGACACATTAGCATTTACACTACAAATACACATGATTTTTGACTACTTCAGAATGTGGGCCGAGTGATCAGATCCCAAAACAGTTTTTTTGGACACAATTTTATACTTGCATTTAATGCTCGCCACAGAAATGACGTTAATACCAGATGTAACCGGGGTCATTGTTGCATTCTGGGATGTCAAAGTATGTCCTCATTCCCCATTCAGTGGAGTCAGGCTAAATATGTCCTAGATGATAGATCCATCAGCCTTTGTGTTTCAGACAGAAGCCTGCTAACTCACGAGGCTAATATTTTAGTAAGTGTGAAGGCTAGGAATGAAGACTTGATAATACTGGTGTGATGTAATGCACTTCTTTTGTCTTGGCCAGGGACTGAGGCCTTAATCGCAAAAGCTCTGATTACAGACACGCTCAACCTGTCTTTTTATATACAGCATCAGCATTTATCAGTTGCATAATGGGCCAGATCAGAGCATGAACAGCCAGTGCAGGGTATAAAATGAGGATGTTGGACCATGGGAAAAATGCTCGCTTTCCTTTAACCAAATCATGAAAAGACCTTTGGGAAATCTGAATTTGGGTACGGTATAGCGGGCAGTTATTTTCTCTCATATAGCGCTGGGCATGTTGTATTATATTGACAGCTTTATCCGTATAATCACGACAAACATGCATGTCTGTCTGCCTGTATATGAAATATGGTTTGATTTAGCGGCTCATATTTTTAACTGCTCTACGCTTGGTCCCAAGGCACATAAGGCACTTCCAAACAGCTCTCTCATTCCAGCATGTTTTTGATTTTATGTCGAATAAAAAAATACACATAAACGGTATTATGACATTCATGCAGCACAACAGAAACAACAATGTGCAACAATGTGAATTTAATCAGTGCAATACACAAAGTCGAGCAGATTTCTTGACTTTTCACATGTTATTGAGGATCCCATCAGGCCGTTCTCAGCTCTCATTAATGTTTGTGGTGCTGCCAAAGACATCCTCCAGAAAGAGCGAGCAGTTGATGGTTTTAACTGCAGGGTCTGCAGCTTTTTCTCTCCAGTCTGTGTCAAACTGAAAACAACAGCATGACGGGGTTTGAGAAACAGATCACAGGATCCTGGAGCGCATATGTTTAGCTGGCACTCTCATTTCATGTCTTTGCAAATTAATGTAAACCGAGACATAGATTTATCAGGCCGGATTGACTTTAGCACATGGTAAATGTCTTGTACTTGCGATTTAAAAATGTATGACAAATGTTTAACGACTTTGCGTGCTTCAGTAAATCAGACACGTAATCATCTTTTAAAAAGAATTGCTGCAGATAAGATTTTTTTATTGCTCAATATGTTAAGGTGACCAGATTTCTCAAATGAAAACTGGGAACATTTCTATTTCAGCAGTCTATATATCATTGAAATATCCAATGTTAATATCTATGAATTCAAAAAAGGGGACAGTTTTGTGTGTTTTGAACATGGTAAATGTAGAACTGCGATGAAATATGGTATATCATACTCTGACGTACTACCAGAAATTAGTGTAGTCATCAACACAAACTTATGAACTGTAAAAACTGTTCAGAGTAACTCACAGCACACTCATTTTCCTTAAACTAATGTTTATCGATGGACAATGATATTAGCAATGATATTAATGTTAACTAAACCTAAAATGATTACAAACCTTTTTGTTAATTCAATAGAGCTGACATGAAATAAAAATACTAGATGAAAATTTAAACTGAAGTACAAAAATGACTAAAACTTCAAAATAAATTAAAGCTATATAGAAATCTTAAAAAACAAAATTGAATAAAAAAGACGAGCACATAACAAAATTACTTAAATGAAAAATAAAACTGAAAATACAAAGCTGAAGCTAATTCAAAATATGAAAAAAATACTATAATAGTATACTTATAATACTATGAATAAATACTATAATATAAATCATATTAAAATAACACTGGATATCAGTGCATATTGGCCACCAAAGGTAAAAAAAAATTTCCTGGAAATCAGGGGCATCTGGTTACCCTGTCATAGATGTACCATATAGTAAGTATACATACTTTTTATGCACAAGGCTTCATGTGGTTTTAATGAAACATGGCTCTAGTCACTAGACAAGACGGATTAGACAGACTGATCGATCCTTACAGTTTCAGTGTGGTCTTGTTCTACTTTCTTTCATACTAAGAAGTATTTGATAAGTGCAGGGTAATTCACCATTGTAATGGCTGCGAGGGCCGCAGGAAATGGCTGGAAACTGGCTAATTTAACAGTCAATAAACACTGTGAAATGAGCTATGAGAAATGAGTGAGCAAAGCAAAAAACACAGAATCACACAGCCTGGCTTGCTTCTCATGGATCCATCTTGGAATCTCTATGGTCCTACAATCCCTAAATACATAGAAAAGACAGCAGTGAGAAACCATACAGACAAAACGACCGCTGTCTCCCCCTGCTGGTTAGTTAAGACCCAGCAGAACTGGAAGGCTTCTCATTGCGAGTCAGTGAGCAGATGGTTCTGCTTAGGCTCCAAGGAGGCATGCTAAATTACTGCGCTGTAATAAAATCTCCACTTCAGAGTAGTTGTTGAGTGGGTTTTTCCCAAGGCTGATTTACTTGAGATGAGGCTTGGAGGTGCTCAAAGCTTGTGGGGCCCACAGGTTACCAGGGCCTGGACCCTGACACAAACACTCTCATGTACATGTGACAAGAATCACGTCTCAAAGTAGGTGTTTGATGACAGAACAAATGGTCTATTTTTTTTGATTGTCATCATTGCATCCAGACCGCTTTCAAACTCACCTTCACGGTGACATCTGGAGGCACAGCAGGGGCCGGGTTTTCTCTCCAGTTGATACCGGATAGGAAGGCATGATAGTCAATCTTCTCAGACTCGTCTTGAAACCTGGATGTGAACATGAGAGATGCAGAAACTAAGGATGCGTTGTGGTGAAATGTTTCTTGGATAATAAGTTGTGCTCTGTTGTCCTTACTTTTCGAGGAGGGCTCGTAGTAGGTCATCAGACAGCGGCAGTCGGAGGGCCTTCAAGATGATCTGTGCCTCTTTAGAAGAGAGGTGTCCAGATCTACGGCACCATTTGAGTAGACAGAAATGAGACAAAAAGAAGAATGAGCAACTCACGTCAGCGCATTCTGTAATAAATATAGAAATAAAATAAATGTAGAATTTAATATATATGTATATAATCTGTAAGATTTAGTAAGTATTCAGAAAGAAGTCTCTTTCAAGTGTCTATTTAAAAAAAAAGTATTTACTTGAATTACAGTTAACAATTTTGCAACATTACAAATATCGTTACTGTCACTTTTAAACAATGTAATACATCCAGGCTGAATAAAAGTATTAATTTCTTTAAAAAAAAAAAGTATTACTGACCCCAAACTTTTGAATGGTACATATTACAAAATACATTAGAAAATAATCGATTCAGAAATGATTGTCATTTACAGTTTTCTTATGTAATTCATGACGGACAGCTGCAGACATTCCAGGTTCATAATTTTCAGAACATCATAAATAACTAAACTTTCCACAGGGCCACATAAACAGGACAAGCACGTTGACCTGTCGGCATTCTTCCTCATCTATTTCCCCTGCGTGCAACATGCCACAGGTCTTCATCTGTTTCCAATGCTTCACTTGAACCGCTGGAACTAATCGCACCCCTTCAATCTAAAGCAGATTGATGGTTATTCTACTTCACCGTGATTGTTAGTGGTTCACATCAGTGCCTGCGTGACTCTGAATAGCTGAGATAGGGTGTCCTTACGGAACAACGGGGAATGGTTTTGTGGTTCTGTATGAATGCATGTTTATGTTTATGTCAATGTTGATTTGTTATTATATACATTTGGTCATGTGCATATACTGCGACAGGGTGCTTACAAGTAACAGATTGAAGAAAACAAGAGGAAATATATATTAGGACAAAGTTTAAATTCAGTGGAGTTCAAATGTCTAAGACCATATCCAAAAATTTTTTTTCAAAATTTAATAAAAATCTGGAAACATGTAAACCAAAACAATATTATAAAGTAAAATGTATAGTAAATAGTAGCAAAATGTTTGATATTATTTTGTTTCCCTTCCTTAGAAGAGGAACTGAATGCACAAAAAAGTATGCCATTTTGAAACTAAACATAAGCAGCAAATTCTAAATGTGAAATTTGTAACACTACTCACAAATAAATCATAAGAATAAATATTTTAGGTAGTTGTATATACTGACAGCCCTATGTGCACAATTAATTAAATACAAGAAAATCTACTTTAAAAAGTTTTTAAAGTCATTTGAGACAGAAAGTGAACCCTGCTTGAGTGCTACCTGTCCCGGTCCTCGTGTGCAAAGGCTCGAATCATATCTGTGAAGTTCTCAAAGTTGTTCTTCTTTAGCTGATCCTGAGCCACAGCAAGCACGAGGCCCAAGTCCACCTCTGGTTGTTCCCGCGATGAATAATTGCGACCAAGCGTTATGATCTCGTGTTCAAACAACTGAATGTCCATTTCAGCCAACAGAGTCCTGTGAAGGACACAGCCATTACAGAATGCTTGTGCACTGTCAAACTAAACAGTGTACTGGGTACGCATATTTTGAAGCTTAGCAGCTGGTCCTTAGTTGGTCATGAGCTGGTTTAAGCTGGCCCTGAGCTGGTCCTGAGTAGGAGCTAGGTGCTTAGGAACAGTTTAGGACCAGCACATGACCAGCTTAAACCAGCTCATGACCAATTAAGGACCAGCTTAAACCAGATGCCGTGCTTCAAAACATACCTATTTTTTTTTTCAACAGGGCTTTTACTGCTTTTATTTGACAATATGTGTTTAATGACACAACCATGATGTGTATGTTAGGAATTAGAATTTAGTACAGTTTGTTTCTTATGCTGGGTTGTAACCAGGTACAGCCACCAAAAGAACTCCAAGTTTTGTCCCCACAACGGTGTACCAGCTCTAATGCCATGGCGAAAGTTCGAGCAAAACATGCTAACTGTTCTGTCTTTGGCTGCACAGACGAGCACAGAACACTATTTAGAGTCCCAGCCTCAGAGGAGACAAGAGAGCAGTGGATTTATTGATTTATTTAATGTATATTGCTGCTGCCACACAGATCCAAAATCTTCATGCTTATATATTTAGTGTATTAAATGAGCATGTACATGATTAAATATAATATATATTTATTAATTTAGCAGACTTTGTTTTGCAGAAAATATCTGTTCCTCGTTATTGCCTGTGACACATTAGCATTTACACTACAAATACACATGATTTTTGACTACTTCAGAATGTGGGCCGAGTGATCAGATCCCAAAACAGTTTTTTTGGACACAATTTTATACTTGCATTTAATGCTCGCCACAGAAATGACGTTAATACCAGATGTAACCGGGGTCATTGTTGCATTCTGGGATGTCAAAGTATGTCCTCATTCCCCATTCAGTGGAGTCAGGCTAAATATGTCCTAGATGATAGATCCATCAGCCTTTGTGTTTCAGACAGAAGCCTGCTAACTCACGAGGCTAATATTTTAGTAAGTGTGAAGGCTAGGAATGAAGACTTGATAATACTGGTGTGATGTAATGCACTTCTTTTGTCTTGGCCAGGGACTGAGGCCTTAATCGCAAAAACTCTGATTACAGACACGCTCAACCTGTCTTTTTATATACAGCATCAGCATTTATCAGTTGCATAATGGGCCAGATCAGAGCATGAACAGCCAGTGCAGGGTATAAAATGAGGATGTTGGACCATGGGAAAAATGCTAGCTTTCCTTTAACCAAATCATGAAAAGACCTTTGGGAAATCTGAATTTGGGTACGGTATAGCGGGCAGTTATTTTCTCTCATATAGCGCTGGGCATGTTGTATTATATTGACAGCTTTATCCGTATAATCACGACAAACATGCATGTCTGTCTGCCTGTATATGAAATATGGTTTGATTTAGCGGCTCATATTTTTAACTGCTCTACGCTTGGTCCCAAGGCACATAAGGCACTTCCAAACAGCTCTCTCATTCCAGCATGTTTTTGATTTTATGTCGAATAAAAAAATACACATAAACGGTATTATGACATTCATGCAGCACAACAGAAACAACAATGTGCAACAATGTGAATTTAATCAGTGCAATACACAAAGTCGAGCAGATTTCTTGACTTTTCACATGTTATTGAGGATCCCATCAGGCCGTTCTCAGCTCTCATTAATGTTTGTGGTGCTGCCAAAGACATCCTCCAGAAAGAGCGAGCAGTTGATGGTTTTAACTGCAGGGTCTGCAGCTTTTTCTCTCCAGTCTGTGTCAAACTGAAAACAACAGCATGACGGGGTTTGAGAAACAGATCACAGGATCCTGGAGCGCATATGTTTAGCTGGCACTCTCATTTCATGTCTTTGCAAATTAATGTAAACCGAGACATAGATTTATCAGGCCGGATTGACTTTAGCACATGGTAAATGTCTTGTACTTGCGATTTAAAAATGTATGACAAATGTTTAACGACTTTGCGTGCTTCAGTAAATCAGACACGTAATCATCTTTTAAAAAGAATTGCTGCAGATAAGATTTTTTTATTGCTCAATATGTTAAGGTGACCAGATTTCTCAAATGAAAACTGGGAACATTTCTATTTCAGCAGTCTATATATCATTGAAATATCCAATGTTAATATCTATGAATTCAAAAAAGGGGACAGTTTTGTGTGTTTTGAACATGGTAAATGTAGAACTGCGATGAAATATGGTATATCATACTCTGACGTACTACCAGAAATTAGTGTAGTCATCAACACAAACTTATGAACTGTAAAAACTGTTCAGAGTAACTCACAGCACACTCATTTTCCTTAAACTAATGTTTATCGATGGACAATGATATTAGCAATGATATTAATGTTAACTAAACCTAAAATGATTACAAACCTTTTTGTTAATTCAATAGAGCTGACATGAAATAAAAATACTAGATGAAAATTTAAACTGAAGTACAAAAATGACTAAAACTTCAAAATAAATTAAAGCTATATAGAAATCTTAAAAAACAAAATTGAATAAAAAAGACGAGCACATAACAAAATTACTTAAAAATAATGAAATAATGAAAAATGAAAAATAAAACTGAAAATACAAAGCTGAAGCTAATTCAAAATATGAAAAAAATACTATAATAGTATACTTATAATACTATGAATAAATACTATAATATAAATCATATTAAAATAACACTGGATATCAGTGCATATTGGCCACCAAAGGTAAAAAAAAATTTCCTGGAAATCAGGGGCATCTGGTTACCCTGTCATAGATGTACCATATAGTAAGTATACATACTTTTTATGCACAAGGCTTCATGTGGTTTTAATGAAACATGGCTCTAGTCACTAGACAAGACGGATTAGACAGACTGATCGATCCTTACAGTTTCAGTGTGGTCTTGTTCTACTTTCTTTCATACTAAGAAGTATTTGATAAGTGCAGGGTAATTCACCATTGTAATGGCTGCGAGGGCCGCAGGAAATGGCTGGAAACTGGCTAATTTAACAGTCAATAAACACTGTGAAATGAGCTATGAGAAATGAGTGAGCAAAGCAAAAAACACAGAATCACACAGCCTGGCTTGCTTCTCATGGATCCATCTTGGAATCTCTATGGTCCTACAATCCCTAAATACATAGAAAAGACAGCAGTGAGAAACCATACAGACAAAACGACCGCTGTCTCCCCCTGCTGGTTAGTTAAGACCCAGCAGAACTGGAAGGCTTCTCATTGCGAGTCAGTGAGCAGATGGTTCTGCTTAGGCTCCAAGGAGGCATGCTAAATTACTGCGCTGTAATAAAATCTCCACTTCAGAGTAGTTGTTGAGTGGGTTTTTCCCAAGGCTGATTTACTTGAGATGAGGCTTGGAGGTGCTCAAAGCTTGTGGGGCCCACAGGTTACCAGGGCCTGGACCCTGACACAAACACTCTCATGTACATGTGACAAGAATCACGTCTCAAAGTAGGTGTTTGATGACAGAACAAATGGTCTATTTTTTTTGATTGTCATCATTGCATCCAGACCGCTTTCAAACTCACCTTCACGGTGACATCTGGAGGCACAGCAGGGGCCGGGTTTTCTCTCCAGTTGATACCGGATAGGAAGGCATGATAGTCAATCTTCTCAGACTCGTCTTGAAACCTGGATGTGAACATGAGAGATGCAGAAACTAAGGATGCGTTGTGGTGAAATGTTTCTTGGATAATAAGTTGTGCTCTGTTGTCCTTACTTTTCGAGGAGGGCTCGTAGTAGGTCATCAGACAGCGGCAGTCGGAGGGCCTTCAAGATGATCTGTGCCTCTTTAGAAGAGAGGTGTCCAGATCTACGGCACCATTTGAGTAGACAGAAATGAGACAAAAAGAAGAATGAGCAACTCACGTCAGCGCATTCTGTAATAAATATAGAAATAAAATAAATGTAGAATTTAATATATATGTATATAATCTGTAAGATTTAGTAAGTATTCAGAAAGAAGTCTCTTTCAAGTGTCTATTTAAAAAAAAAGTATTTACTTGAATTACAGTTAACAATTTTGCAACATTACAAATATCGTTACTGTCACTTTTAAACAATGTAATACATCCAGGCTGAATAAAAGTATTAATTTCTTTTAAAAAAAAAAGTATTACTGACCCCAAACTTTTGAATGGTACATATTACAAAATACATTAGAAAATAATCGATTCAGAAATGATTGTCATTTACAGTTTTCTTATGTAATTCATGACGGACAGCTGCAGACATTCCAGGTTCATAATTTTCAGAACATCATAAATAACTAAACTTTCCACAGGGCCACATAAACAGGACAAGCACGTTGACCTGTCGGCATTCTTCCTCATCTATTTCCCCTGCGTGCAACATGCCACAGGTCTTCATCTGTTTCCAATGCTTCACTTGAACCGCTGGAACTAATCGCACCCCTTCAATCTAAAGCAGATTGATGGTTATTCTACTTCACCGTGATTGTTAGTGGTTCACATCAGTGCCTGCGTGACTCTGAATAGCTGAAATAGGGTGTCCTTAAGGAACAGTGGGGAATGATTTTGTGGTTCTGTATGAATATATGTTTATGTCGAATACAATATTATGAAGTAAAATGTATAGTAAACAGTGGCAATAATGTTTGATATTATTTTGTTTCCTTTGCTTAGAAGATGAAGTGAATGCACAAAAATTTATTTTGAATCTAAACATAAGCAGCAAATTCTAAATGTGAAATTTATAACACTACTCACAAAAAAATCATATGAATATTTTAAATATTTGTCTATATTGACAGCCTTCTGTGCACAATTAATTACATAAAAATATATAACATATCTCAAAATATATAATATAAAATACAAGAAAATCTATTTGAAAAGGTTTGATTTGGGACTTGAGAAAGTGAAAGATGATTAAATGGTGGAAACCCTGCTCAAGTGCTACCTGTGCCGGTCCTCATGTGTGAAAGCTCGAATCATTTCTGTGAACTTCTCAAAGTTTTTCTTCTTTAGCTGATCTTGAACCACGGCAAGCATGAGGTCCAAGTCCACCTCTGACTGTTCCCGCACTGAGTAAGTGCGACCCAGCGTTATGATCTCGTGTTCAGACAAATGAATGTCCATTTCTGCCAACAGAGTCCTGTAAAGAACACAGCCATTTACAGAATGCTTGTGCACTGTCAAAATAGACAGTGTATTGGGTACTTTTACTGCTTTTATTTGACAATATGTTTTTATTAGTGTTGTAGTCAAGACCACCTAATCCGAGACTAAGACCAATGTGTGTTGAGACCAAGACAAGACCAAGGCAGGGCGAGACCGAGTCAAGACCAAGACCTGACCAGCACTACTCCGATTCATCTGAAAGATCTACATTTACTTGAGAAATGTCTTATTTTTAATCATTAAATACAATTAGAAGAATTAGACACTATATAGAGCTGTTACCAATCAAATAAAATCACTAAAAACAAAATTCATCTTTGCAGTGCAGTGGTGGCACAGAAAGTGCATCTGATGAATTGGTATATTTACAAATGCATAAGTAATGTTGAGAATAATGTTTTAAAAATAACATTTTGTTTATTGAATATTTGTATAAAAGCAATATCAAATTTGTGAAAACTGCTCTTGTGATATTGCTTGATTATATCATATGTTATAATATAAAAATACAGATCTCATACAAGCACCTTTTTTGCAACAATTTCTTGAATTTTGTGGGTATTTGTATGAATTTTGGTGATATTTTTGACACAATCCTTCATTAATTTCTGACCCTGTGTAACAGTATCAGTGGTTCTCAGCCAGGGAGCCTCAAGATTACTTAAAATTATTTAAAATAAGACAAAGCAAACATTAAAATAAACTAAAACAGCAAAAATTTAAGATATTCCATATACATTTTTCTAGTCATGCTAAGATCTAAAATATTTTGGGTGAGAGTAGGGGGCCTTTACATATTGTTGTGGACAATAGGGGGCCTTGAAGTCAAAAATTTTGAGATCCACTGGTGTAAATCAAATGATTTATTATTGTTAGTTATTTAATCATTTATTGATTGCAGTTAAAGCAGGAAGTTTTACATCTAGTCACATTATGTTTACAAATAAATCAGACAACACACTGGCAATTTAGTGATATCCACACAGTTGTGGTCTTGATCAGTCTTGAAACAAAATCAGAGTCCTTTTAGTCTGAGACCAAGACAAGACCGAGTACAAATGCGGTTGAGACCGGTCTTGAGTACTACAACACTAGTTTTTATGACACAACAGTGATGTGTATGTTAGGAATTAGAGTTTAGTACAGTTACACACAATGTGTTATCTACCTTTTATTTGTGTATTTTTGGCCGGCTCCTTACCTGAATGACTCATATGGAATGAAGCCAGTGCTGCTTGGGCCACTCATGGTGAAGAACTGTTTTACTTTCTTCTTCTCTTCCTCACTGATGGATTTTACTTTGCTAATAATGGTGTCAATATTGGCCTTAGGGAACTAAGTAATTGAGAAACATAGGTGAAGGGATTTCAATGAAGTTTCTGTGTAAAACAGTTTTAATGGGCCCTATCATACACCGGCGACGCAAGTGTTTTCTGCTAGTTTCAGCCCAACGCAGTTGTCATGTTCACGTCCTGCGCCACGTTGTTTAAATAGCAAATGCATTTGCGCCCATTTGTGCGACCATGGGCGTGCTGGTCTGAAAACGAGGTGTATACAGGCACATTGGTGGCGCGTTGCTATTTTGAGGCAACTGAAATAGAATGGGCCATTGACCAACAAAAACCTGGTCTAAAGTCTGAGCAATGTTTTTTCTGGTTATTTAAAGAGCGCGTTAGTAATATGCGCCTATAAGCGGGTGCACAACGCGCGTTCACTTCGCTTATTACACACACAGGGATGCGCAGCAGCACACAAATTCAATTGCGACATGTAAATAGCGACCCCGCCATGGCGCGAGCGCAACTGGCTTTTAAAGGGAATGGGAGATGAGACTCTGATTGGTTTATGGCACGTTACGCCCACACCCATTACTCATTAATAGAATAGGGACTACCCTTTTAGACCATGTGCCGGGCGCGCCGACCATTTATCCGGTCCTTAAACTAGCAAAAGTCGATTCGGACATGCCCTAAGCGCAATTGCGCCGTGCGCTTTAGACCATGCGCTTAGATCGTTAAAATAGGGCCCTATATGATTTTTGTGTGTTACCTCATCTGCATGCTGCTCCATGTAGTCGAATGTAAATTCATCAGCATCCAGCAGCTGGAAGGGCTGATTGTTCAGATCCAGCCGAGCTCCCACATACAAATCCTGAGCTGTGAAATACTCGGACACCTCACTCTTATACAGCTCCTGTCCTGGCTTCTTCACTCGACCTCTCTTTAAAAACGTACCCCCAATCACACCTTAAACACAAGAACAATGGAATAACAAGGCAGAATCTTAATTATGTTTTTTCCTGATCTGTTTTTAAAGGAACAGGACGGCAGTACCTGAGTTTCTCTGAGGAGGTTCAAAGACTGCTATGGTGTCGTCACTGAGGTAGACGTATATGATAAAAACACGTTCCTTGTCGATAGAACTGTCTGTCAGCATTTTCGCCACAAATCTCAACACATTGCTCACCAGACCTTGCCTAAAGTTGAGAAAAAAGCTTAATTTATCATCTGGCTGAAGAATGTTTTGTTACAATAGACAGGAATCAATAGAATAAAAATGTTGGTTTCATTGGTTGGACATTTTAAAATCAAACTAATCATGTAGATGCATCATGTTTTTGCTTAGACTTTGAAATTTGTTTGAACTTATTAGTTGTCCTAGTTTAAAAAGTGTATTTATTTGTCCTATATATCATTTGTATACAGAATAAAACATCAAAACAATCCACTAGAGTTTGAGGAATTTATTTTTTAAATGGTTATTTTAAAGAGATCGTTCACCCAAACCTAAAAATTCTGTCATTATTTACTCAATCTCATGTCATTCTCAACCTGTATGATATTCTTTCTTCTTCAGAATACAAAAAAAAAAACTTTTTGAAGAATAATTTTGGCTAACACTGTTACAAACAATTTTGGTTAACACTGACTTCTGTTGTATGAAAAAAAGCACACATTTCTCGAACAATGGAATAACAAGGCAGAATCTTAATTATGTTTTTTCCTGATCTGTTTTTAAAGGAACAGGACGGCAGTACCTGAGTTTCTCTGAGGAGGTTCAAAGACTGCTATGGTGTCGTCACTGAGGTAGACGTATATGATAAAAACACGTTCCTTGTCGATAGAACTGTCTGTCAGCATTTTCGCCACAAATCTCAACACATTGCTCACCAGACCTTGCCTAAAGTTGAGAAAAAAGCTTAATTTATCATCTGGCTGAAGAATGTTTTGTTACAATAGACAGGAATCAATAGAATAAAAATGTTGGTTTCATTGGTTGGACATTTTAAAATCAAACTAATCATGTAGATGCATCATGTTTTTGCTTAGACTTTGAAATTTGTTTGAACTTATTAGTTGTCCTAGTTTAAAAAGTGTATTTATTTGTCCTATATATCATTTGTATACAGAATAAAACATCAAAACAATCCACTAGAGTTTGAGGAATTTATTTTTTAAATGGTTATTTTAAAGAGATCGTTCACCCAAACCTAAAAATTCTGTCATTATTTACTCAATCTCATGTCATTCTCAACCTGTATGATATTCTTTCTTCTTCAGAATACAAAAAAAAAAACTTTTTGAAGAATAATTTTGGCTAACACTGTTACAAACAATTTTGGTTAACACTGACTTCTATTGTATGAAAAAAAGCACACATTTCTCAAAATATCTTCTTTTATGTTCCATAAAAGAAAGTTATACTGATTCGGAACAACATGAGGGTGAGTAAATGATGACAGAGTTTCCATTTTTGGGTGAACTATCTCTTTTAAAAAGTGCTTGTACAGCTCTTGTTTATGGTATGTATACCATGAATGTTTAATGTGTTGTTAATTGCAGTTTGATTTCACAAAATGTCTTAAATGTAAAAGTCATCACTCTGAGGCTCACTATAGGGGTCTGGCCGATTATTGGCGCTGATATTAAGCTTTATTATGGTTATCGTATCGGTCATTTTCAAAACCGATTTGCCGATAAAATAATTTAAAAGCATTTAAAGAAAGTTTTTGTGAGAGCTCTTGTTATTCTTAATTTTGACATTAATTTTCATGTTTACACCAGACATATATATCGGTTATCGGTCTTCTTGATCTGTAATAATCGGTATCGGCATCAGCCCTGAAAAACAAATATCGGTCGACCCCTAGTTCACTATGTCAGAGAATAGTGCAACTGAGAATGCATAGAGGGCATCGAACACCACTGGTTAATTATACAGTGAATTCATGTATCTTAAAATGTATTATTTGTCACATGCTAGACAATTACAAATGAAAACATGATGCAGAAATGTATGAAACTTACTTTAAAGGGTTAATTCACCCCAAAATGAAAATTCTGTCATTAATTACTCACCCTCATGTCGTTCAAAACCCGTAAGACCTTCGTTCATCTTCAGAACTCAAATTAAGATATTTTTGATGGAATCTGAGAGCTCGCTGACCCTCCCATAGACAGCAACGCATCTGAAATGTTCCCAGACAGAAACGTAGTAAGGACATCGGTAAAACAGTCCATGTGACATCAGTGGCTCAACTTCAATTTTGCGAAGCTATGAGAATACTTTTTGTGCACTAAGAAAACAAAAATAACACAATTTATTTAACAATTCTTATCCCCCGAGTTACGTCTTCTGCCATTTTGGAGAGTACCCAAGAACGTAGTTGGCATTGTTTACGTTAGGGGGAAAGTGCGTGCATGAACGTAATCTGCATAATCAGCGTTGTTTACACTTAGGGTAAAGCGTGCGTATGCGTTGTGATACTCTCCAAAATGGCGGAAGACATTAACTCGGTGGAGACGTATTGTTGAATAAAGTCGTCATTTTTGTTTTCTTTGCGCACAAAAAGTATTCTCATACCTTCGCAAAATTGAAGTTGAGCCACTGATGTCACATGGACTGTTTTACCGATGTCCTTACTTTATTTATATCTGGGAACATTTCAGTTGCGTTGCTGTCTATGGAGGGTCAGAGAGCTCTCAGATTCCATCAAAAATATATAAATTTGTGTTCCGAAGATGAACGGAGGTCTTACGGGTTTGGAACGACATGAGGGTGAGTAATTAATGACATAATTTAAATTTTGGGGTGAACTAACCCTTTAAACTTGCACAACTGTTGGAAAGTTTGAGGTCAGAAATTAATACTTTTATTCAGCAAGGATCTATCAGACTGATCAAAAGCAACAGTAAAGACTTTTACATTGTTACAAAAATGTTTTAAATAAATGCTGTTCTTTTTAACTTTCTATCCATCAAAAATCCTTGCCATTCATCAAAGTCCTTCATTTCGTGAGCACCAAATCAGCATATTAGAATGAAGGATCATTTGACACTGAAGACTGGAGTAATGGCTGCTGAAAAATCTGTCTTGAGTCAGCTTCATAGACCAAACTGCATTTGACATATTGTGTCAAGTATTCTTATATGCTCACTATATTAATGGACTCCCTAACTTTACTAGAAACTTTGAAGATCTGTCCTCTTTCCAACTTACATAGCCTATTCTTTAAATATTTAGTTCACCAGACCGACAAGATCAGATGGGTCTTGGTTCCTTACTTACTTTCAAGAAGTTTCCTTGCTTATTCAATGTGTTTAGTCTTGTCACTTAACTGCTTTGAGGTTAGTACTATCTATAAAATAATCCTTTACTTAGAAGAGCCTTCTTTTTCCCTTCAAACTCTATGCCTGCCAATGTCCAACAATGTATTGTCCAAAGCAAACTGAGCGAGACAGTAATTTACAGCGTGATACTGGTTCTGGGATTATATTTGGAAGCAAAGCACTATGAAAACAATGTATAACAGTAAACTGACCTGCAAAAGTGTGTTTTACATCGAAAGTATCATGAGATTGTGTTTGAGCTTCTGATTATTTATGAAGGGCATGTGTTCATCCATGTGCTCTTCTGCAAAGAGCTGTACTTAACTGATAAAGGATGACTTTAGTAGGACAGACAAGGGTCTAAAGTCTTCTGTCAAAATTATCAGAAAGCCAGTAAGGGGCTGACATGTTGTTTTGATGTAATATTAATGGTTGTAATATTAAGGTTGCAATATTTTGATGTAATATTGAGGGAAGCATATACTCAGGACGTCCTAAGGGAGATTAGCTCCGCTGGTTACCCGTCTTTTTCCATAAGCTTTCTGAAGTCCTTCTGTGGAGGTTTAAGCAGCAAACCCTGACAGGAGCACAGCGAATCTTCCTCAGATCCAAATCCAGTGTAGGGTGGCACCTGTCTGGCTGTTTTAGAAGGGGGTGAGGCCTTGTATGAGACAGGTGTGAAGTCCTCTGTGAAGCCACACAGGAAGAAAACATCAAACACACACACACACATTTAAGCAGACATAAGCATGAAAAACCGGAAGTGAGGCCAGACAGGTTACGTTTTCCCATATGAATTCAGTCTGCATCCTCTTAACCTCTGAGAAATGATCAAGTGCTTCATCAGAGCATGTGTCAACCTGGCTCCATTAGGCTCATGTGTAACTAATGCTATGATCTTTTCAGTCGACATAACGCCGCAGCAGACAGATGCACGCGCATCCGTATTGTGTTTCCACTGGCATGGAGCTCGTGTGTTTCTCATGTCCGGGCTTTTGAAGATAAAGAGGCCAGGCTGGTCATTGCTCATATCTGCTGTCCAAAAACTGAGTCACCTTGAGGTGTCAATCAGTTCTGCTCCTTTAGTCTTCTGCTGTTCAGTGCGTGTTATTCTGACAGTTATTCACAGAGATGAAAGCACACTAGAAAGCATTAGTGTCTCATAGAGATGTGGGATTTACGACAGGAAGACTTTGAAAATAATGAACAGCTTGTCAGACCACATAGATGCAATGTGTGCTGAGAATGAGCGGTTGGGGTATGTACATTTTCAGTTCACTACAAAAAGCAGGAGAGCATACGACTGCACATGCTGTGGAGAGTTTGTTTGTAGCAAACAAAATAAATATGAGTTCATTGCATTGTTCTAAAGTCACAGGTGAAACTCAATACTGACATCATGTGGTCATTAATAGCGGTGCCAAACCCCTCCCTCTAAGTTTTTCAAAACCACCTAATAAAAATAATCCATTCTCCTATTCTATTTCATACTATAAAAATGCTATAAAATAATGATATAAAAATAAATAATAATAATAAAAATGCTATTTATATACTCTTTTGCCTGTAAAAAATTAAATTGTTAATTTACACAAAGCTATTTACCACAAATCATGAAATATGACATATTAATCAAATATAATGTTAGGCCACTATCATCTATAAAAGCATAAATACTACTCCTTTCCCTTGAGTCATGACATAACTCACCAATACCATATTTAGAACGATAATACTCTTTAGTGAAGTTGTCGCAGTCACATATTATCAACCTTCGACCCCACACATTAATGACGCCTCCAATGGTCAGGTCACAGTCTTTATAGAATTCTTCTTCTACTGCTCCAGTCTGTAAAATGTTAAGGAGACATTGACATTCTAGTCCGTTAAAACTAAAACAACTGGCTACTAATTAAACTAATTAAAAATTGTATTTATAAAAAAAAACTTTTTAGTCAGTGCTTACTTTGAGGCTATCCAAAATGTAGCGACCTCCTTGTCCGACTGGTCCAAATACATTGAGGACTGTGCGGTCTGTTATTTCTCCAGGCTGATATTTGGGAATAGGAGCGTGCTGTTTGACAGAATCAAGAGCAAAATAATTGTAATTTCTCACAACTTGAAGGACGAGTGAAATTTGCTAATGGGTTCATAATTATTTTCTCACTGGGGGATTCCTGCGAAACCTTTATAGATGACATTTAGTGAAAGGCAACAGATTGAGTGACAAAACTACATAACAACAGAAAAAACCCCTGAACAAATCCTTCTTCCTTCATAATGAATTTGGACTGCAAAACAAGCAGGCAGCAAACTGAAAAGTGCTTTAGGGAAGTTGGATGTTCTTTCAGCCCTGTCAGTCTGGATAAAAGCTTGGCATGGAGGATGGAGAAATTTGTCCAAGCAAAAGAGGAAAGAGGAACTGATAACCACTCTGTCTTGTCTAAAGGTGGAACAAACTGGATTGAACAATAACCTACGTATGCATCTACTATATCTATGTAAAGCGCTTTGAGTGCCCAGAAAAGCACTATATAAATGTAAGGATTTATTATTATTATTATTTTTATAACCATTTAATTTTAGATTTTTCAAACACACTCATTGAAATCATCACGTCTGCATTTATTTGATCAAAATACAGTAAAAACAGTAATATTGTGAAATATTATAAGAATATAAAACAACTATTTTATATTTTAATATATTTTAAAATGTAATTTATTTCTGTGATGGCAAAGCTGAATTTAGTGCTCAAGAAAAACATTTCTTCTTATTATGAGGATGTGTTAATAAATTATGGATATGTTAATTTATTTATTTTTTGCAGTGCTGTTTTTTACAAACCTTGGGAAGCTTGACCCTGTGCAGAAATTTAGGGACAGTGTCTCGACCAGAGTTTGGAAGGACAAATTCGTAAATTTCCATTGTGTCATCTGCCAGGAAGTAATGCAAGATCAGCTCTCTGGGATCTCCAAACATGCTCTCAGTATCATCCCAGTAGCAGGAGAAGCGCAGGACTTTGCGGTCATGTTCCAAAAACTGCTTCAGGGTATCAATTATTTCATATGGACGCAGCGGCTTCATGTTCTCCTCCATCTGTGAGAGAGAAAGAAACAGTATAATATTACAGTATTGATATTGCTATTTAGACACATGGTGCTTTCTAACCTCTTGTCGATGGTTGGTATAGGGATCTGCTGGCATGGAAGAAGGGGGGTTTAGGCGCACCCCCATTTTCATCAAGACGTTGCGTGTGAAGGGGTCACAGTCTGTAATCATAAAGGTTCTGGAATAGAATGCTATTTCCTGATTGATGTTAAAATGGTGCACATTGTAGAAGCAATCATCTTTAGGAGCTGGGAGAGGAATGCGGTGCCTCCGAATCAGGGTTCCTACATAGGAGGAGACCAGCTGCATTTAAACAGGATGTTTTTACTGGTTTGTCATTATTTAGGATGCTATACATTTGATTTTAATAGTTTACCCTGTGGGATTCCACTGTTTTTGAGCTCTGGCTCCACTACTTGTATGGTGTCATCCTCCAGATAGAAGTAAATCTTGCACGTTCGCACTCTATATTTTTCTTCCCTCCTCTGAGGTACAGTTTCTTGGAAATAAGCATCAAAACACAGGACCTTCAGGTAAGAAAATAGTGAGGAAAATGAATATACTTTGCACAGCACTAGGTTAAAAAAAAAGGTATATTATGTTCCCTTAGAATAATGACCAACCTGTTTGTCAAAAGCAACCCATGCCGGAGCATCACTGCCCTCTCCCTTTGGAAAAAGTGAATACTTGGGTCTTGAGCTCTGCCCCAGGAGAAGTTCTCCTCCAGTGCCCGGCTTCTCTGCCCCAACCATCATGGCTACTCCATTTGAATAATCAAAATGCTGAGATTTGTGAAATTTGTCTTTTCCAATCTGGAAAATAATGGATAGAAAATAAAATGGACACTAAAATGTTTTCATAGTTTTGTTATGACAGCATTTCTATCAATTTAACTTGTTCTGTCGTTTCTACTCCATTTTATGTGTTTTGGGGTTTCTTCATCAGTAATTAGTAGTTGAAAAATAGAATGAACTTCACTGCAGGTTGTGAATTTGGCACCACTTTCAACATTTTAGGCAATAGTGACTAACTAACTAACTAAACAGTTTAGTATATATATTCTACACACACACACACACACACACTTTAATTATTTTCAGTTTAAGTAAATATGAGCAAACTGCTCCAGATACTAACACAGCTAGCAATACTTAAACAGCTCTAATTCACAGAAAGCTATTTTCCCTCAACACAGACAAAACATTTATACAAATAATTTTAATATCGCTTACATTTCTATTGACTGAATTTGCAAGCAACATTGGTAACGCCATTATTAGTAGCAAGCGATAATGTGGGATTTTCTTCGTACAGGACACCAGACTGCTGGGAACCGGTTGCCAAGGTAACAACTTGTTTGCAAATATCATTGGTAGGCAACGAAAGGCAGATCACGTGACATAAACTGTTTGCATTAGTCCAATATGTTTTCGTTTAAAAGACATTAATCGTATATCAGATATCTCAAGAAGTTTTTGTTTTGGCCAGTTTTGAATATCTCTCTGTGTTTCATAACGCATAACATGCATTGATTGATAAATAAATAAGACGTCAGAAATAATTAATAAATTATTATTTTAAGATAACAAAGTACTTTTGATGAACATACAGTAGAACCTACTTCCGAATCTCTTCAGCCAAGTTATTATGTTACTGTAAACTGCATGATCTATATGATTATTGACTGGGTGGCCAAATTCTCATAAATGTACTTACCCTGTACAACATTTATTTTTTTTTAAACAGCATTTATATTAGTCCATGCTTTTGTCTGCAATAATATATATCAAGATGTTTCTAAACCTTCGTTAAGTTTTTTTTCCTTGTAAAAAACAAAACAACATGAATAGACCGTAAATAACCAGAAAGACATGATGTTTATTATTTCCACAAACATGTTATTGGTGGGTTATTCTGTATATTAAAAATATCCATCACAAAGTAAAAAAAAAAAAAAAAAACATGCCTCTGGACAAGTAAATATTAAGGAAATGATTACAACTAACTCGAATAATGTATTGTCAAAAACAAAATACAATAAGAAACACTTTAGTTGTATATGCAAGACTTCATGTTGATGTCTTTATGATTAAGGGTAGGCAAAATAATATAAAAAATAATATAAAACCACCACCAATTTTTTTATAAAGTTATTGGCACAATATCTCTCTCTTCATCAGAATGATTAAACTATGTACAGTTAAAAACAACATTTTAGAGGAATATATTTAGAACAACAGTTCAGCAAACGTCCATTGCAGTGACTGCTTCAGACAATACATCAAGTTTCAGTGTTGCATAAGGGAGATAAGGGAGAATATTAATGTGCAAACTACTTATATCAGTGGCAATACAGTAGATCCAGGTTTCATTTAGGATGCTAGGCCCAGCAGAAATCCTCCAACAAATCCACCCGAGATAACAATATTCCTATTCACAAATTCTGTCGGCTGTATAAGAAAAATACACCACTTACAGAATGTAGGATAGAGTAACAACTTTCTAAAATGTTTTGTGCACACACTAAATAATAATACAAAATGCTTTATAGAATTGTGGGAGCGCAAAATAGGTAGTAAACTGTTATATGAAGTTATGATGAATGTATGAAAGAATACCCACTTCTTCTATAAAGGAATTGAGCTCAGGGGCTGCTTTGTTTGCCTTTTTCTTCAAATGCTTTTTAGCTTTATTGACATCCTTTTCCACTTTCCCCCAGTCAACCTGCACATAGCCACTGTGGTTGGCAATCTGAAATGAGAAAAGTAAGATTTCACTCAAAAATGAAAATTTGCTGAAAATGTACTCACCCTCAGGCCATTCAATGAGTTTGAGAAACAATCACTGGAACATATTTGGAGAAATTTAGCATTACATCACTTGTTTAACAATGGATTCTCTGCAGTGAATGGGTGCCGTCAGAATGAGAAAGCAATATTACGGATAGAGGGCTTGTATTTTAGCCAGAAGGATCTGTTTGAAGTTAAAAATGTGAAGTTAAAAGTCATGTTGTGGATTATTGTGATGTTTTATCAGCTGTTTGAACTCTCATTCTGACGGCAGCCAACAACATAGGATCCATTGGTGAGCAAGTGATGAAATGCTAAATTTCTCCAAGCACATCTAGGCTACATGGATGGCCTGAAAGTGAGTAAACATTTAGCAATTTTTCATTTTTAAGTAAACTATTCCTTTAACAATGGCTATGACATATGATGCAAGCATTTTAATAATCCATACTTGTAGCAAAAGAAATCCCCCTCCAACAGCAGTAGCCACAATTTTTCCAACTCTCTGAAAAAGATTACCAGCACACCTAGAGGACAGAGATTTTAAGCAATTAATGCACGTATTATTATGCATTAATGCAGTTATTTCATACATGTAGAATAGAAAATTGAAGTTGACCAATCAAAGACTACAGCACATATGAAATAGCTTAGATTTCTTAATCTATATTAACACTAACCATCCTGTCACTCCACCCATCATGATTTGTGAAGCCACAGAGTACTTTTCTGCAATGGGTCCTGTACTGTTCCCAAAAACATGACTCCACCATCGATGACTCCTGGCATAATCTGTGATGTTAACCACCTCATACAATTCATCTTCACTCTCTGCATCTACATCTGAAAACAAAAGTAACTGTTATTATACATGAAGTAATCACAAAGCTTTGATGCAAGTGAAAATACACCTTCATATAATTCATTAGGAGGACGTTTTGCATTGGTAAAAAATTGGTATTGAGATTATTCGTGTATATCCACCCAAGAACCAATTGTAGGTCGACAACCTGTTTTACATTATTTTACATTTTAGATTAACCTCTTTATGATCCGATTAAAAAAAACAAAGTTGAAAAATAGCATGAACCTTTTATTAGGTGTAACACCGATAATAAGGTCACCAACCTCACTATCGCACCTTATATTGAAATATCGAACCTGAGAGCAAGACATTATAGACGATATTTTGAATTTATTCACCGACATGCAGTTACAAAGACATGAATGAGAATTAAAACAGTATGAGGTAATTTCCCGAGATTTAGCACATGATATCTGTACAGTCTGCCGACATAATAATCGATTATTATGCTGCTCTACTACATTGGAAACACTTGGAATCTCATTGCATATAACCTGTATGATTAAAGAACCACGTTGTCAACCAAGACTATTTAGTCAAATGTTTGGTTGGCAAATGTATTTACCTTCACAGCGATCCGCCATTTTATGAGGCTCCGTTCACACCGCCGCAGCTCTACGCAAAATCCTGCGTAATTTACGTGCGATCACTGTCCACTTCTTCTTCTTTGGAATTTTTGGTATGTCCACGGACTCATACGATCGCTTCTATGTGTTATTCACAAAATAGTTTACAAATTGTTTCAAGTGTTTTAAATATTGTTTACCTACAGTATCAGAGGTCTTTACACATACCGTCTGAAGCTGGCTTAATTTCATATAAGAAACACTATATTAGTTGTATAACAAACACTAATAATAATAATAGTTAAGCAAGGGAGTAAAAAGAAGATAAAGAAAGAATTATTCATTTCTTTCATTTTTCTTTTTCTTTGCTTAACATTTTGAAAGATGTAGCGATATCTCCAACAACAAGTGGAAAAAAGAAAGAAAGAAGATATTTGCTCTGATCTGCCTTGTATTACACTAAACCACATATTCCACATTTACCACATAATCTGGAGGAATGGAAATCATACTGACTCATGCAACTCTAACTGTATAATAATTGTAGAAATCAGGCAACGTTTTCCTTACATCCTCAAAACCCTACGTTTCAAACAGACAGACGCTTGAACCAATCACGCGTTTTATGTTGGTGATACGTAATCATAATAAATCCAGCTGAGCCAATCGCAGCAGGCGAAGATGCGGAGTAAAGTTGAGGGGTTTGTTATTTACCCTCCCCCTTGAAAGTTTATATGAAAAAAGGACACCAAGACAAGGCCGATCACGTGGTCCACAACCGAAAGCAGCCATTGGCCAAAACCACAGAGAAGGCGTTCCGACGGCGGCGGCGTGGGTTCGCTTGAGTGACACAATTATAACAAGTTTGAGCTGGCGACTAGGGGGAAGTTTGAGATATTACTAAATAACAATTTACCGTTTAATCCTGCATTGCTCGTTCTGCATGCATTTTGGTGTACCTGCGACTCATTTATGTTGAGGACAATGTGAAAAAGGGGGTGTTCAGAGGAAATTATTTTCCGTCTATTCTTTTTTTTTGCGTTTAGATATACGCAAAAAGGTGCTCGGCTTGCGGTGCGTAAATATTTTCGCTGGAGTTTTTTTTGTCTATGAAATCGTGCGGAGTGTCAGTGCCCGCTGTAGCTCGCGCTGCTGCTGCTGGTGATGGTGATGAGGAAAAGAAAATGGCGGCGGGAAAAGCGAGTGAAACCGAGGAGGACTTTCCGAAGCTTACGCCGCAAGAAAGGGAGCGCTTAGCCAGCGTAGACAGGTCAGTTAAAGCCCCTTTACTTGCACCGATGACCCTCCGTGCATTTTTATGAGCGTTCCCCGCATGTTAAAGCGATGCAAATGAATGCGGTGCAGGTAAAGTAACACGGAACCGCCTGTGTTGTCCTCTATTTGCAGCACACTATTTGGATTTCAGAGGCTTCATGAAGATGGCGCCAGAACGAAGGCCTTGCTGTTAAAGGTATGAGTGGATGACACTGATGGAGGTCTGGAGACAGACAGACACATAACTGATAATCATATAACATCACTCTGCAAATATACTCGTGTTGCACAAAAGAAAAAATGCGTAATATTGCTACAACACAGTATGCAATGACACTTAAGGGAGTCTGTATGGGCATAAATATATACTTTATTCATCAGCAGCAATACACAGTCAGAATATGTACACAATGCACAGACAAGCATTGCATTGTACAAAATAATGCAGTGTGCGTTACACTTTTATAATGCTGTAAACAGATATTTATACATTCTATAAAACGCAAAAAGACACTATATACGCAGTATTAAATTCATATTGTACTATTAATGATATACTTAAACGATATAGTAAAAGTTACATCCAACTTCACTCGCTTACACACAGTATACTGATTTAAAGCAATAAATACTATATAACAAAACTGCGTGATTGTTTATCGTCGCAAATTTAAACTATATGATCGCCAAGCTCTAATCTGCTAAATGCGATGGAGATATTAGGATATTGAAAATATTGACTTTTCGTTAAACTGATTTGAGTATCGTGAGTGAAAAGTGCTATACAAATGAAATTGACTATATAGGCTGCAAAATGCATGTCAGTGATGAGGATCTGCTGTAGTTGCTCCCTGCAGTGATTATTTTAAATATTAGTCTGCTTTGAAAGTTATTAAACAGTGTTATATTAGTTTGGGTGCTTGCTTTGTCGAGGTCTTGCGCAGGTAGACTTTGAGAAGAAATGCTATTTTATATGAAGCCATTTTCGCCTATTATGACCTCGTTCACCCATTGTCAGTGCGGCGCTGTAATGAAGAGCTGAGGGTAATGAGGGTGTTGTTTTTATTCGTTTGCATCTATTTGAATATCAGTTAAACAGGCGAAGGTTGTTTGAATTAATTAATGGTCTTAATTATAGAGAAATGTGTCTTAATAGCTTTTTATTGAGCCACAAGGTGCATCTGTCGTTTGATGATGATAAATCCTCCCAGTGTATAAGTTTAGCTAGCTGAGCTGTTCATACTCGGTTAGGCCAAAGTTGTGAATTATTGAATTTATTTGCCGACCTTAGACCAGTTTGTAGGCTGTTGTAGTGTTTCAAGATGAACTGGGAAGGTTAAAAGCTCTGATCCCAGTGGTTTGCTCGGCAGTGGCTACATGTTAGCTGGTTAGCATTATGCTAACTTTAACTGCATATGAGGAGAGTCATTTGAATGCTACTGGGCTCTTTTCAGTCCTATCTCAACATTCAGGGTTTCAGTTAAGTAATCAAGCTGCTTACGAAAACTTGTGTGTGGTTTAACATTGCATTTAGCAGATTTGAGTACTTCGTTTGTCATATAGCCAAGCAAGTTGACTTTGCTAGGTTGCATTTGCAAGCAGCGTTTGTTGCAGTGCTGTATATTTTGTGTCACTTGGTTTGTTTTATTTATACATATGACTGTTGTTTACAACATAGGGGAAACATATTTGTGTTTTTAAAAAATTCATTGTCATATTGCAGGACCCTTGAAGTAAGCATGAACTGCAGTTTGTTTTATTTATACATATGACTGTTGTTTACAACATAGGGGAAACATATTTGTGTTTTTAAAAATTCATTGTCATATTGCAGGACCCTTGAAGTAAGCATGAACTGCAGTAAAGTGATAAAGATGATAAAAGTCCATGCGCTTAAAGTTTGTTTGTTTTTTCAATCCAAAGTGTAGATGTGAGCTTGTAGACAAAACCATACTGTAAGATAATTAGATTAATAGGTTGGAATTATTGTTCATAGACATTTATATTAATTGGCCACAAGAAATGCCGTAAATAATTGATGCATCTTAAAAAATAGTGACTGTTCATACCAAGAATGATAACTATAATAGTAATAGTTTTAAAAATCATTCTATAGGCCTGATTACACCAAGAAAGATAACTAGACCGCTATATTTGCATCCACACCTATGGACAATAATATTCTGTTTATTATAAGCTCTAGCTATAGTTTTTTCGTCTTTAAGTGCTCAGGCTCTTTAAAGTTGGGTGGATTGTGATTAGTTGTCAGTATTTTTATCGTTCATCAGTTGGGAAAAAAAATACAATCAGAGTGATTCCAAAGCTATCTTTATTGTTATAGCTGTGGTGTGGACTTCGCTATTCTTATATAATCACGAATAATTTTAAACCTTAAAAGTTAGTTATCGTCCTTGCTGTGAATGGCCCTTAATACTTTGAGAATAGGGAAGTCCACACCACAGCTATAATGACAACACAAGAGCAATGTAATTGAGATCACGTTCAGAACGATTATTTCCAACAGATGAATGCTAAAAACATTGATGGCCTAACAGAATCTAACCGACTTTAAGGAGCTTAAGCATTTAAATTGCAGTTTTTTGCACTTTAATGTGCTGGGTTCTAATAAACAGAACATTATTGTGCATTGGTGCAGATGCTATATAGTTACCGTTATCTTTATGGTTATACTTGGTGTGAAAGGGCGCTAACAGTGGTCAGATCTGTGATGTTTCATAAGAAATCCTTTGCAGCAGGTCCATTTCTACAATTCCATGTGGACAGATATGTTTTTTTTCCCCGCATCTTCCTTTCTAAATCTTCTGGATTTTTTTCTTAGGAGATATACAGGTGGAATGTTTAATTACCATCTCTGCCATGGGCCAGACATTTTGAGGCTGTGGTGGTTCTGACAAGAATGAGACTATTCATTTAGAAATTGACGTGTGCATCCCTCAATCACTTCGCTCAGTGCTGTTGTGCTGTCGGCGAGTGCTGCATGCTGTCTGTCTGCTGCTGTGCAACTGTTCCCACAAGCTAGCCGTGTCTGTCAAAACGTTCAGTGTCCCAGATACAGCCAGCACCTCTTTAAAGTCCTTGTGAACGCAGCGGTTAAATGAGCGCTTCATTTTAAGTTTAATTAGAAAACGTATTAATGTGTTTAGCACTGATATTATTGGCTAAAATATTCTCAAGTTATTTTGGTTTCTAGATATTGTCTAAAAAGAAAATGTTTGTGCAAGATATTTTGCAATGTTGTGTTTATTTAAATGAACTGAGTTCTCACATTGAGCTTCGTAAACAAGCACCGATTATTCAATACGTCAAAGTTTGCATTGGTCAGTCTGAATGTTTAACTTGTTTATGTTGCAATTTCATGAATCTGCAGCCCTATTGCATGTTTTATCAATTTAACACACCAAGTTAAATAATTCAAAACACAGACGAGAATACAGAGTAAATATCTCAGTGTTCTGAACTTCTTTTGTCATAGAAAATAACCAGTGTATTTAACCTTTTCTGTGACCTTCAACTCGGGTGACCTTGTAGGTGTTTCAGAGCTTGAAAGCGCCCTGACAGGAGACAAGCAAACAAGACTACTGGTTGGTTATTGGATGCTGCATTAGTATATTTACAATGATGGCTCCTTATGTACTTTAATGTTGCTTTGTCTCCAGCATTCTAACAAAGCAGTTAAAATAAATCTTTAATGGTGCACTAGTAATTCATTTGCCGCATTTAATTTGGAGTTAAGATTGTTAGATGTATTTAAGTAAATGTGACATGTTTTATAAAGCATATAAGTTCAAAAGTATAGGGTTTGCTTTGCATTGTTTTTGAAAGAAGTCTCTTATTTTCAGCAGGGCTGTGCTTATTTGATGGAAAATACATTTGTTATAATCAATGCTGAAAACAGTTGAGCTCTTCAATATTTTTGTGGAAACTATAAAAAGTTTTTTTTTGATGCATAGAAAGTTCAAAACAACAAAGTTAATTTAAAATAAGAGTCTTTTGTGATGTTAAAAATGCCCTTACTGTCACTTTTGATCAATTTAATGTGTCCTTGCTAAATAAAAGTATTAATTTCATTCAAGAAAATTTGACCCCAAACTTTTGAACTGTAGCGTATGGCTGCTGTTTAATTAGGCAACGTGTTATATAATACAGACATTAGGGTACAAAATATTTCATAATGCTTGGTGAGTGCTGAGATACATGGATTATACATGGGTTATATACATTAGAAGTATCAAACGAAGATCTCTTTCCATCATATATCAGCACCTTTGGAGTATCTTATGGTAAATATGACAATGGTAAAAGTTGATTGAGAAATCCGATTAATCGATTAATCGGGAAAACAATCGGTCAACTAATCGATTATCAAAATAATCGTTAGTTGCAGCCCTAAATATATGTAACAGTCACAATTGTTTTTTCCTGGAAAATTATTTACCAAGTTCAAGACAAACTGATTGATTTCTCCAAGTGGGCATTCTGACTTGTTTCACATTCACTGTTTGCTTCACAGGCTGTTCGCTGCTATGATGTCTACATCTTAAAAGCTGAAGGGAAAGTGGAGCCAGAGGTGTTTTGCCAGTTAGGTCACTTCAACCTTTTACTGGAAGATTATCCTAAAGGTGAGTTCTGACTTAAGGAATATTTATTTTATTGTCATTAAAAATGTAACAATCAGTCTTAATCTGTTTCTTTTGTTTTCTTCTCAGCATTATCTGCATACCAGAGATACTACAGTTTACAGTCAGACTACTGGAAGGTGAGAGTTGCTTGATTCTTATTGATTGTGCACTTGCACCATTTACGCTTGTTGTTAAATCCATTCTGACATGTAGGCTAGACAGTGCTAAATGCAAGTGTTAACAGGGTCCAGTGTGTTTTGGGAATTCATTGTGTTAAGATCACGCCCACTTTCAGAGGTGGTCGTGGATGCATGTGGTAACATTGCATTTGTCTAATGCAGTGGTGGCCAATCCAGTTCCTAGAGATCTACCTTCCTGCAAAGTTCAGCTCCACCCTGATCAAACACAACTGAACCAGCCAATTAAAATCCTTAGGGACACTTTATAATTACAGACAGTTGTGTTGAAGCAGGTTTGGAACTGAACTCTGCAGGTAGGTAGATCTCCAGGAACAGGTCTAATGCATCACAAGGCGCGTTTCCATTACAGATTTGCGCAAAACTTTGGCGATATTTTATAAATGTCGATAAAGTATTGCAAAATGACGGTGTTTCCATTAACCAATGTTATGCGACTAAAACGTAACCTTTTGCCTCTCACGATAAGTCATGGCAATGGATTTTGGTGGGATTTTGACGGATTTTGGCTATATTTATTCAAAGGAGGAGTATGCGTGTATCTTTACAGAAGCATCACCGAGAGCCGCTTCAGCAACGTGCGTGGCGCAGCTGGATTCTGGAATAAACACAAGCATTGTGGCCACAATCAGCTTCAGTGGCCGTATCAGAGCCACACTGCACCGCAGACGTGTGCCGTGTAAATTGTCTAAGCATTAATGGTATGGAAAGCCCCTTAGACTGGAGATCGGCCACGTATGATGTGTTTCTTTGGAGGTTATAGTACATTGAAGAATGATCATATGACTTTTTACATACGCCATGTGACCTGTAAATGCGAAAAAGCCGTTTCCATTGCAGTTTTGCAAATTATTCCTTTTTCGCATTGCCTGAAAAACCACCTCATGCGAGTGTAAAAGATTTTTTGCGATATATGGGCGTTTTTGCGAAATTGACGCGTTTCCATTAGGAGTATTTTCAATTCGCAATTTCAATTTGCGCAATATGAAGGGTAATGGAAACGCGCCTACAGACAATATCAAAAGGTGGTGTAATCATTGTGTCAAAACAAGGGTTTTAAACTTAAAGTCTGCCAAGCAATAATGATACATTAAGAACTAAACAAATGTTTGCAGTATGACTACTTCTGTTTGGATCGCCTGTAACAGATGTAATTCCAGGTGTCCATTATTAGTGAAAGCAATTCAGTTTGATGTGTCTGGCTAGGTGTAGCTGTCTGTTAGAGAGTTTTTGAATGTGAAATGAGATACTGTGGGAGTGTCAGTAATGGCCTCTGACAGTTCTGGGTTCCAGACACTGTTCTCTCCTTGAGCAAGAATAACGTTTTTGGCTGTGAAATTTCCATAGCAGAGTAAACTTTCACCGTGTTGGAGTGTTTTTGACTGCAGATACGGCTGTCGACTATAGAAGTGTCATCTCTCACATATCAGGCGCCAAGCCTCAGCATACGGCTAATAGAAACTGATTTCCAGCACAGATGGACTAAACGTTTTTTGTGAGTTATTAGGTAGTTTCTAACTATAAATTAAATTTTTGCATTGGCACTATTTAGTTTGGATGCCTGAATGGAAAATTTGCCAATGGAAACATTTTAGACCGCAGCTGTGGAAGCTGAAGATTTCATATTTTCTGCAAAGCTTATGTAACCCCACCCCTCCCCCTTTCCCTGTGTAGGATTTATTTTTTTGCTCTGAGAGTGAGGGCATGTTCTAAATTTGTGTCTGCGCTGAAAGGGTTAAAGGGTGCTGTCTCAGCAGTCAGACAGCTGTGTGTGATTTGTGCAGGTGTGTTGAGCGGCCCGTGTGCAGTACTGTCAGCCTGTCAGAGTGATGCACCATGCGCTTTGCAGTCAGTGCTTCTCTGGCATTCTTTATTCTGCGCCTGTCCTACTTTACACTGCTGTCCGAGGTCTTGCGAGACAGCCATCCTTTTTAGATTGTAAATAAGTAGCGTGTGCTGTCATGCTGGTAATTGAAAGCTCATGTCATTGTAGACTTCGTGATCACATTTGAATAGAGCCGCATTCATCTAAAATGTGAAACCTGGTTTGCACTTTCAAGACAGTCTTGTCATTTGAGTGCGTTGGAATGCATGAACTGATAAAATGTGTACTTTGAATTCAAATATCTGTCACATAAAAATGCAAATGTGAAACTTTCTCTTACTATATCTACACTATTTTTCCTGTAGTTCTACTCTGGTTAAAATGCAACAGACTGAAATATAAATTGTTATTGACTGAAAGTGAAAACAATGAGCGCTTGTCTCTATGAAAAAAGGTGACTGGGGTTTTTATTTGTTTAACCATACGGCCCAGTCCTAGTTTAATTCTTAAATTATTCACTTCGTCAAGTAACCATCTGGTTTCATCATCTAACGGAAGTGCATTTGTGGGGAAGACAAGCCACAGTGACTTTCAGTTTGAGTCACGCTTTGCCTCTGAGCACAGATAAGTGGTTCAGACTTGATAATGTTTCATTGATCCATATTGTCTTGCACATTCCGTTATGTAAATATAACCTTTTGTGGTTGCGGGAGACGAAAACTTTGGCACCTTTTTAGTTTAACACGTGCTCATTAGCCGCAGACGTTTCTGTCCCCTGCTGAGCGCAGATGTGTCAGACCTGCTGTGAGAGTAAACCATCCCTACTCATACTTACGGTGCCATCCTTTATTAGAAAGTCAATTTGCTGTTTAATTCAACTATGATGAATTGATGAATAGTTTCTTCTCATAGTGTTTCTAATTCTCATCTTCTTTTTTTTCCAGAATGCTGCCTTTTTATATGGCCTTGGTTTGGTTTACTTCCATTACAATGCTTTTCACTGGTAAGTACACTTACTATGTGTTCTGTAATGCATTTGTTTTCTCATGCTTTCCATCTGGTTTCTTTTTCTTTTCTTTTTTTTTTTTTTTAAATCTGTAACATAACATTGTTGAAATATCATCCCTAATAGCATTTTTCATGACCTGAAGTGTGATGTTGATGCTTTCTCAGCTTACAGACTAATTAGAAATTCTGTATTTTGTTATCCTCTTGTTTGTCTTTTTTAAAATTATAACATTTTTTACATTCAGTCTATAATTTTTTTGTTGCTAAAGTCTGCAGAAAGTATGTGCATTATTTTTTGCCTATTTTCTGTCAATGAATAACAGAAGTGTTATTTTGGAGACAGTATCTCTTGTTGGGTTTGTGTTAAGTACGGCTGAGCAATTAATTGAATTAAAATCGTTGTTGCAAGATGTGATTAAACCACAAAATGTTGGCAATTAAATATATGGTCTGCATGCACTGTGGGGTTCAAAGTAAAGGGGCTCTTCATTCTCCTTTAGTTTATAGTCTACTAAAATACAAGTGTTTGTGTAAGTGGGCTGTTTTCAGAGTGGCTTTCAGTTTGTACATGATACACAAACTTTGTTTCAGGAGGTGATTTGAGTTTGGTTCACGTCAAAGGGCCCGTTATGATTAACCTACAGCATGATTGCTTGTGTTCCTAGCTCTCTATTTGTGTCTGCATCGTTCTACAAGTATACAGCCAAAACGCTAGTTGGCAGTGCTGGCTACAGCAGCAAAGCACAAGCAGAAAACATTGCTGGAGAAGTGGCAACAATGTTGACAAATAGACAGCTACTTTGGTGCAAATGCATTTAATATTTTGTGAAATTCTCTTTTAAATCTCTGTTGTTCTTTGATATTGTATATGGATAAACAATGATAATGGACATCACTTGATTCATTCACAGTTCATGACCTTCTCAGTCCTCACTTGTTTCATTAGAAGCTTAAAAATGCAACTCTCAGGCACTAGGTGATTAAATACTGCAAGATGCGATAAAGACATCCATTTGATTTGTTCAATGTAGTTTAACTATGATTTAAAAGATGTTGTTTGGTCTTAACCAAGTAATAAAACCGGGTCAGATTTGTTTAAAATACGCAATATATATTACACATGGGTTCTGTACAATATCTGTCTCTCTCAGCGTTCACACAGTGCTTGGGATAATTGGTCACTGTAACACTGAATATATATATATATATATATATATATGTATGTTTCTTTATTGAATTTTCTTAAATTAGTTATTTTTTTTAAATGTCATGTTTTTGGTCAGTGTAGTTGTCTTGACTAGTTTACACAGGTTTTTTCAAATATTGAGGATTCATAAGGATTTACTTATATTGTCTCTAGTCAGGTTAAATCAGATTACATTTAACATTCAAGATCTGCCGAAGACCAAGATTGTGTTCAGCTGGTAATCTTGTACCATCATCACTGAATGGCGGTTGGGTCTTAAAGGATTATGGGGAAAGCATCACATTCTCTCATTCATGAATCGGTCAACTTTTTTTCCCTCCCCAGTAGTTTAAGGTCAATTTTTTATATTCATGTATAGCGTATGAAATTTGATAGGATATTGGTATTGATTTGGCAAATAAATGTACAGATGGTATGTTGTGATATTTACTACTGGAGGTCCCCTCTTTCCTTCTCTTAGGGCAGTGCAGCACACCCCCTCAGATGCCCATTCTGGACAGAGAAGGTAGGCATACCATGTTGGTTTTATAAGGGTATGCCTCAGACATGCTCTGTAGATATCTTCAGCTTGCTCAAGTGGCAAGACTATTTGCATTAACTTGGCATATATAGAAGTACATTGATGTGAATATTGGATTAAAAAGGAATGATGTGTTGATAGCTATTAGAAATAAACCATCTGCATCGTTCAACATTTGGTATGAAAATATATGCTGCAGTTTTAGGTAGTTGGGGTTGAAAGCACAGATGACAAGCTCGTATTTGTTAAAGCTCTTACATTAATTATGTGAAATGTTTTTTTTTTTTTTTAAGAAATCCTTTTTTAAATCGTCCTTTTGATTAGTGTTTGCCCCATGTAAAAAGTACTTAATGGATATAGTTGATATCATTGCACAGGTTAAGGTTGGATTGCAATTCTGTTACATAGTGTCATGCTACAGCATATGATATTACGTTTTGTGAAGTTAAGGTTTGTACTTTTAAAACTGTATAATTTAACTTTTTCTGGGATATTGTCTTTACCTATAGACTTCTTTTGTGAGTTAGTGTAAAGGCATGTTTTTTTTCCTATGGTGATGTACAATGTCACAGATGCTGTTGATGTAGTGTAACTATTATTCAACCTGGAGCATTCTGATTTGTTCTCTGTTTTTAATGGTCCCATATAGCTTTCAGGTCCTTGACTCGATTACTCATTGAAAGTCTAAACATTGTCACGTTTTTTTGTCCTGTAGGTCAAGTAATCCTATTGTCCGTAACTTAAATCATTAATTTCAGTGTGCAGTGATTTTAGAGCATGTGACCCAGTCATGGATTCTTGCTTGCTAGTAAATGATGAGGTAAAGGCTGTGCCTTTCAATTCCCAAGCAGGAAACTGAGATGACATGCTTCCCATTTTCACTCTCTGTCTCTCTCTCATTCTCTCGCTCATTCTAGTCCACTCCCATGCCAATCACACTCATTCTGTGATCTTCAAGGCCAGAGAGGTCGAGAGACAGAGAGATGTATAGCCAGGCAGATATGTAATTATTTTCCATACTATAATAAGATGATCTGGCCGGATTTTGTTTATAGTTTGTGATCCTAAAGTTTGTGGTTAAAGTAATCTTACTTGCCTTTCATTTTTCTATTTGTGGAGTTTTGAGATAGAGAAAGCAACTGTTTTTTGATTAGCTATGTGGTTACGTGCTGGGTTGGTTGTGTCATGGGTTTTGGACTGCATATAACTTATGAAATTTAGTTTACTGGCTTCCGGTACTCTTAGCAAATCAGTTGTCCTGACTTGCTTAGATTTTTGGTTTGTGTGTTGTGTAAGTGGTACTGGCAGAACAAGTGAGTGGGATGTTGATGCTTGATGCTGAATATTTGCAATTGGAAACAAAATTAACCAGCATTGGGACTTTACTAACAAATCGACGATTGATTAATTGTCGATAATAATTTAATCAGTAAAACGAATTGATGGTTGACTAAGCAAGCTGCGTAGTTTTGGGGTACGTGTGAATGTGCAAAACACTTGCAGCAGACACAAAGCAGCGAGCGAGTCGTTAGGGCTGTGAGTGATGGTGACTAGTTCTATTGCGCAAATAATTCACAATGTACAAAATCTGCTTTTAATGTGATCCAAACTTTAAAAGTACATTAAAATAGAAACAATACAAAGTCTTTGAACATCAAATATTGGGAACAGGTCAGAGTCCATCTCTTGTCTAATATCTTCATGTTTTTTCCCAATATTCCAAAGCAACTGACACCTGTAAATGGTCAGAAAAGCTAATTATATTTTCAGCACGAGCGAGACATTTATATTGGATGTTGAGCTGAGGGGAGAGCGTAATTGAATACCTGTGTCATGCTGAAAAAATGGATACAATATCTATATATGTACTATATACTGTGGTCTGTGTGGGTCCTAACGCCCCAGTATAGTGACGGGGACACTATACTGTTTATTTGCTATAGACTGTTCAAATGCGGAGTTTTGCACATCGTGTGTGTGTGTGTGCGTGCGCGAGAGAGGGAGAGCGCGAGAGAGAGAGGGAGAGCGCGAGAGAGGGAGAACAAGAGAGAGGGAGAGCGAGAGAGAGAGCGCGAGAGGGAGAGGGAGAGCGAGAGAGAGAAAGGGAGAGCGCGAGACGTCGCATCATCCAGGTGGATGCTGCACACTGGTGGTGGATGAGGAGATACCCCGTGACAATGTAAAGCGCTTTGAGTGCCTAGAAAAGCGCTATATAAATGTAATGAATTATTATTATTATTATTATTATTATTATATATTAGGGGTGTAACGTATTGAACCATTCGGTACGAGGCTTTTGTTTCGGTACGCATTACAAACTGAACGATTTGTTGGACTAATCAATCCTATTATATTTGGAAAATAAAAGAGCTTAAAGTGTGAAATATAATGTTCTCGGTGCCACTGCACTCAACAAGACAGCCCAAACAACGTAACCGGCAACGTGCTGTCTGCCCTGTGATAACCTCCTCTAGCTGGGGTGCCTCGAAAGACGACGATCTTGTATCAACGATAGCCAGAGATATTGGCAATATTAAGAGGATTTGGCATTAATGTAGGCCTGTTACATTCTTATTTTTATTAGGCCTATTATTATTATTATGAAGTTACTTTTATTATTAAATTAAAATGACAATTAATTTGCCCCGCAATAATTACCGCATAACTGACGCGCTGCGAGGATAACAAAAGATATTTAGCCTACTCAATTAAAATGTTTTTAAAAACAGTCTTTTAAGGTCTACAATGAATTATATGCATATAATTAAAATATTAACACTGCAGTCATCGATAAAAATCAGTGTGATCCATTTCATTAATTTGTTCCCTAGTGAACCTATGATTCAACTAAAATTATGTAATAAATTAATAAGTCGTGAGAACGAATTCTTAATTTGTGGCAACAATATCTTTCATGTTCCCCAAGACTCACAAATAAACTTGACGTGCCCTATTTTGTCTAACAAGCACAAACTGTGTTAAAATTGAATGTGACGAGAGATAAAGACTGAAACCCATGAGATACGATATTTCTATAAAATAATTAGGGTTAGGCTAACAATACTATCTGTCGTTTTGGCAAGTAAAAATGTATATGGTCATTAGCTTTTTTTTTTTTTTACCACAGTAAGAGATGCAGAAACGGGGATTAAAAGTGAATGACAAGAAAGTAAACGTTTATAATCCTCTTCGAAATTAAAAGATGAGATTGTGAGTATATGAGAAAAGAAACAAGAAATATTGGTAAATTTGTGGAAATTCGCGACCAGCCCGCAAAACTCGTAATAAATATTGAATTAAAATGAATTGAATTATAATGCCAGTCATCATGCTGATTGATCTAATGAACTCTTGCATATTTATTTGCCTGTCATATAGCTTTGGCTCTTGTGAGAGTTATGTGATTTACAGGGAATGAAAAAATTATGATAAATCTTTGCGTTCTGTTATGCAGAGCTCTCACACACTTCAGTGCTCTGCAGAGAGAGCAGAAAAGACTGTTTGGAGGGAAGGGAAGAGGAGGGGGATTGGGGCCATTGAGTTCAGTGGGCCGTGGCTCAGCAAAAACACCCTCTGTTTTTCTGAGCGAACATTGTATAAGCAAGCAAAACCCACTGCTGTGAGCCGACCACGTGTTGCAATCTCTGTCAGAGGTGGAGATTGTGTGTGTGTTTACTCTGTCTGTTATAAATCTGAATGTCATATATACATATGTAATAGAGGTAGATGGCTTACAACAGGGTCGACCATGAAGCTTGAGTGTTTCACTAGTATTTCCATTGCAATGATGCTTCTGCTGCTAGCTTTTCCTTTTGAAGCTCATGCTCCAGGCAGTTTTGCTATTTGTTGCTTCAAATCATACTTCACATTTTAATTTCAGAGATTTTTTTGATTGTTAATTATAAGTTAATCATTAATTATTAGTCACATTGTATACATAAATGAGTTTGTCCCTTCCTTGAGATTTCTTTTGCTGTTTCTTGTCTTCCACAGGGCGATTAAGGCATTTCAGGAGGTGCTTTACATTGACCCTAGTTTCTCAAGAACCAAGGAGATCCATCTGCGGCTTGGCCTGATGTTTAAAGTCAACACAGACTACGAGTCAAGCCTCAAGGTATGTCTTTTAACAGCTCTGTCTCCCTCTCTTCATTACATTTAAGCATTTATGCATTTGGCATATGACTAGCATTGCATTTAGCTTTAGATTTTTTGAATTCATGCATTCCCTGGGAATCAAACCATTGACCTTGGCATTGCAAGTCCCAAACTCTACTGTTGGAGCTATCTACTAGGGATGCAACAATACAGTAAACCCACAGATCAATGCATACCGTGGTTTTTTTTTTAACCATGGTTTTTGGTTTGGTTCGGTTCTGATGGCTTGACCCATCAGAGTGTTTTTTTACGATTTGCAATTTAAAATGCGCTTTTTAAAACATTAAGAAAAATCGAATTAAGAATTGCTCATTATCATTTAACGACACATGCACCGAAATGGGTCGCTGTGAACAGAGCTGTTTTTGACAAGGTAGAAAGAGTGTTGTTTTACATGACCATTGAGGAATTTGTTAGACATTTCATGAAGACCCTAAAGAAGCATACCAACTTGTGGAAAATGGGCATCCGATGTCCCCTTTAAAGCCACTATTGTGTTAAATAAGAAAAGCATGAAGTAGACATTACAAAAAGTAGCTTTAGAAATATTTTATTTGATTAAACATAACATTTTATACACATAAACGTTTAGGCTATAACGGCCTAACATAAACCTATAGAACATAAAAGAAGATCATTTGAGAAACACCTCAGTATTTTTTGTTCATACAATGAAAGTCACTACAACAGAACGGCTGGAACGCTTATCCATATTGGGTTTATTTTTGCTAAATAAATAGTGACCCGGTGTGATACGTCATGTGTTTTTATTCATCTGAGGTTAAGGACCAGATGATTTTTTTTATGTCCTGATATGGAAAACCATGGAATTCAACAGGGTGTTATTTCTTTTTCACATGACTGTGTGTGTGTGGCTGGCCACAATAAAAGGCCACTCTAAAATGTGCAGTTTTACTGTATTGGGGGGGTCCGGGGAGATCCGAAAACCAGTCAGTATCTTGTGTGACCCCCATTTGCCTCACGCAGTGCAACACATCTCCTTCGCATAGAGTTGATCAGGTTGTTGACTGTGGCCTGTGCAATGTTGGTCCACTCCTCTTCAATGGCTGTGCGAAGTTGCTGGATATTGGCAGGAACTGGAACACGCTGTCGTATACGACGATCCAGAGCATCCCAAACATGCTCAATCGGTGACATGTCCGGTGAGTATGCTGGCCATGCAAGAACTGGGATGTTTTCAGCCTCCAGGAATTGTGTACAGATCCTTGCAACATAGGGCCGTGCATTATCATGCTGCAACATGAGGTGATGGTCATGGATGAATGGCACAACAATGGGCCTCAGGATATCGTCACGGTATCTCTGTGCATTCAAAACGCCATCAATAAAATGCACCTGTGTTCGTTGTCCATAACATACGCCTGCCCATACCATAACCCCACCGCCACCATGGGCCACTCGATCCACAACGTTGACATCAGCAAACCACTCACCCACACGACGCCATACACGCTGTCTGCCATCTGCCCTGTACAGTGAAAACCGGGATTCATCCGTGAAGAGAACACCTCTCCAAAGTGCCAGACGCCATCGAATGTGAGCATTTGCCCACTCAAGTCAGTTACGACGACGAACTGCAGTCAGGTCGAGACCCCGATGAGGACGAGCTTTCCTGAGACGGTTTCTGACAGTTTGTGCAGAAATTCTTTGGTTATGCAAACCGATTGTTGCAGCAGCTGTCCGGGTGGCTGGTCTCAGACGATCTTGGAGGTGAAGATGCTGGATGTGGAGGTCCTGGGCTGGTGTGGTTACACGTGGTCTGCGGTTGTGAGGCCGGTTGGATGTACTGCCAAATTCTCTGAAACGCCTTTGGAGACGGCTTATGGTAGAGAAATGAACATTCAATTCACGGGCAACAGCTCTGGTGGACATTCCTGCAGTCAGCATGCCAATTGCACGCTCCTTCAAAACTTGCGACATCTGTGGCATTGTGCTGTGTATTAAAACTGCACATTTTAGAGTGGCCTTTTCTTGTGGCTAGCCTAAGGCACACCTGTGCAATAATCATGCTGTCTAATCAGCATCTTGATATGCCACACCTGTGAGGTGGATGGATTATCTCGGCAAAGGAGAAGTGCTCACTAACACAGATTTAGACAGATTTGTGAACAATGTGTTTGTATTTATATTTTTGTTCTGTATATATATATATATATATATATATATATATATGTATGTGTATATATAGTGATTTTGTTGAGCTTTACAGTCTTATCAGTAAATACACTGGTCTTTTTACTTATATTTTATTGCTTTTCGAGTGTGTGTTTTTGAGTGCTTTTTGGATCAACTTTATTGTCTTTTTATGAATCTCATTCCTTTTTATTCAGGCCATCGAGGGCAGGGGAGAGTGTGAATATTTTTATTTATTTTTTTGCATCTCTACATGCTTTTCTAGTGTGAGTGTGTGCATGCCGAGTAGCCATCTGGGCTAAAGGAAAGATGACCTCTGTGCCGAGGATTTGATTTTTGAACTTATTGACTTCTTCCTCCTTTTCGAAAATGTTTCCCTTGTTCCTAACCTCTCCTCATCTCTTCTTGATCCCACTCACTGGTCTTAAGGGCACCGATGTGCTTACTGATTTTTCAAGTTCATGAGGTTTATGGCATCAGATCCTCAGTCGGATACATAGCTGTATACATTACATAAAATAGGCTGTGAATGGTTGTTTTACTCATCAATCTGACAGTCTCTTCATAAGTGGGTGGTTCTTAAATTAAACTGCAGTGTCTGAATGTGTGTGAATGCAGTGCATTCGACATTCTCAACCATCCTTTAGTCTTCAGGGTATTGTGAGCCAGAGCAAATGAGTGAGTGCTAATAAGTCGCGAGAACTGCACGTGCAGCACGTCCTCCCTCTGCTTTGGGGAAGGAGTGGCAGGGGTTGGTTGGCAGCCAGTTGAATGTTCACCGGCTCCCTGTGTGTCCTACTTACGGGAACAAAGCCGCAGCTCTGAGGGCAGGCAGCAGTGCTGTCTTTACTCTCCCTGCATTCTGTGACTCTCTCCCATACAACCCTGCACTCCTCGAACATAACCCTCTGGTAAGTGTCTACTAGTAGGGATGTTCATTTTGGTTATTTTTCCTAACCGACAACCGACGCTCGTTAACCGATATTATAAATTAAGAAAATGAAAGAAAAACTGTGCAACAAGTAGCCTAGTATGCAGAGTTTCAGTTCATTTTTGTTCTGCGTGAAAGGAAACCAGATGGCAGAAAGCAGCATCCTATTTTTTTTTAGGCTTATTTTACAAAAGCACAAAGATTTGTTTTTTGTGAATGTACACAAATAAAGGCAAACCTTTTACAATTCCGATTATCTTTGACTAAAAGGAGTAGTTGCTTCCACTGTTAAAAGGAAAAAATTTAAATGATTGCGCCGGCGCCACATGCACACACACAGTTAAGCATTGCTACCTTGACAATGCAGCCTGCTCATTATCATAATAAAATACAGTCAGTCCAACATATGGAAAAAACATATATAACATTTAAACTGCTCAGTTTAAATATGTAGTAAAATCTGTGCCGTTAAGCGTTATCACCGTACCGCCGTGAATGATGTTATGCAGACCATTTTGTTTTACGTGGATATTGGAACGCGAGTGAAGTAGGCTACATAATAAATAATATTTTGGCATTCAAATACATTGCGAATACGGAAACATTAGATTTTGTCGAATGAGAGACGCAACGTTGGTTTCAGTTTAGTTTTAGCTTAAATGAATTTGTTTTGGCTTGTCGTTTATAGCTTCTTATATTTTTTTATTGTTGTTCTTTTCTAAATACTCTTAATTGAAAGGCTTTGTTGTGGAGTGAGGGGAACTAAAATAGCCTAGCTATGTTTACAGTGTTTATTATAATGTTTGTAAACATTTCGTGTTGGCATTAGACCTATTTCTGAATGAAATAATAAAATGCAACTTAGACGTTATGTTTTTTTTTCCCTCTAAAAAAAAACGAATTTTTTTATATGTGTAGCGTATTTCAACCATGCAGCAAACCTTTTTAAATATTTTGATAAATTACAAAATAAATAAATAAATGACTTTTTAAACTGATTGTATTAATCGGTCAAAATTCTTCACTGTCGGTTAGCGGTTAACCGGTTAAAATGAACATCCCTAGTGTCTACCATAGGAGACAATAGGATGTGATCTTGCCATTGCTCCTACGTTTTAAAACAATGTATCTGTTGTAAATGTGTTGCAAAAACGCTATGCTTTGTTTATTGCAGTGTCATCCCTTCTGACATCGCATTGTCATTTAAACTGATACATTTATACTCCGCCATCTGCATTTAGAAGTTTGATCTCAGTTCAGGATTGTGACGTGCATTTGAATCTAACATCAAAATTATATTTATGCATAGTCATAGTCATTTGTGGGATTTTTATTCTTTGCTCAATCATAGTTGCATTTAGAGATATGTGTTAAACCTGTTGTTGTTTTTTTTTTTTTTTTTGTATGTTTCAATATTAATTAGTACCAGATGATATTAAGCTTATTATTATATTTACTTATTATAAAAGCATACCCTGTATGTTAGCCATACATTTTTGACCATAAATAATAATGTTGATCATCCATAGCATAAATACAATCATAAGCTCAAATTTCTATATTTGTTTATCACTAGTTGTGTTGCATACGGACCTTATTCAATTCTCATGACAGAAATTGTTACTGCAGCTACAGCATAATGGAAACGCGACCAATCTGATGTAGAAATATTAATGAAAAGCATTTATAACGCACTATATGGCTGCTGTAAGAATTTATAGTTACGAATTTAAAGTTATAGTATTTGATTCACTCAGACCAAGTATGCGCATTGACTGACTAGACCAGATTAAAAATATATATTTTGAGATTTCTGTCTTTCACCATTCTAGTTGATAGGAGCTGTTCTTGTATGTCCATTATCCATATATAAATTAAATGCACAGGGACATTATCAAGATGGCTGCTTGAATCTACTGACTGGCCTTAAAGGGGCCTGTTAGGAGCTGTTCACATCAGACCCATACTTTGGTTAAACTGTGATGTAAGCTACTGTTCAAATGTTTGGGGTTGATTTTTATTTATTTTTATGGAAATTGTGAAAAAAAGTTTAAAAAAAACCAGCATTTAAAAAAAAAAAATAGAAGTCTTTTGTAACTTTATAAATGTTTTTACTGTCACTTTTGATCAATTGAATACATCCTTTACTAGATAAAACTGATAATTTCTTTCAAAAACTTACTGACCCCAATTTTTTTAACAATTGTGTATCTGTGAATGTGTACAGGTGCATCTCAATAAATTAGAATGTCGTGGAAAAGTTCATTTATTTCAGTAATTCAACTCAAATTGTGAAACTCGTGTATTAAATAAATTCAATGCACACACACTGAAGTAGTTTAAGTCTTTGGTTCTTTTAATTGTGATGATTTTGAAAACAAAACTCACCTGCCTATAGCCTTAGTAATCCTGAAGACATTGATTAGCTTGTTCAGGTGTGTTTGATTAGGGTTGGAGCTGAACTCTGCAGGACTGCGGCTCTCTAGGACCGAACTTGCCTACCCCTGGTCTAGACGTATATATTTAAAAAAAAAAATTGTCAGTCTAGTATAGGCCACTTTGGCGTGAGTCGCTGCTATTTTGCATAAACTGTGTAAAGATGCTGTGTAGAGTTAAAATTGGCTCAAAATGCAGCTGTGTTGCTTTCTATTGCGCTTCATCTTACTTTTTTTTTTTTATGGAGAACACTTCCTGAAAGTGTGTTGGTTCCATTATTAGAACTGTTGTAATGCCTGCTGATATGATGCACTGAATAGCCTGCCTCCTGCTTTACTCATCGTTTTTTCCCCTATTCTCTCCTGTCCTTCCATCCCAATTTCCTGCAGAGAGCGAAAGCTTACGGCAGGCGTACTCTGTGTGTGTGTGTGTTTGTGAGATGAAAAATGCCTGGAGGTATGGAGTGAGAGAGAGAGAAGGAGAGAGCAGCATGTCATCTCTCAGCTGCTGCCGCTGCTTTCTCTTGAATAGTAATCAGTATTAGAGAGAGAGACGCACTGGTAATCCTGCAGCATTATCTACTTGCCATAGAGAGCGAGCGAGCATGTAGGAAGCAGTTGTTCAGTGGAGATCAGCTCAGCACAAAGGGCTTTCTGTGGTCAGTAATCCGTGTTTTTGTTTGTTGGAGGATGTCTGTATGAAGCAGATAGATGTGTGTTTGTATGTTTTTGACAGATGGTTGTGATGACTCGTTGGCATGTAAGTGCTTAGATTGTTAAATGTTTGACTTTCAATGCTAGTTCATGGCTAAATTAACTCTTGGTTACACACCATTTTAGATTTCCATTATTCAGAAATATGTGAATTTGGTGTCTATTTTGGTTATTGTCTGTTAATTTGACTCCAGTGATTCTATTTTATTGGACAGGCAAGCTATAAATGTGGACTGTTGGAAGTATCAGTCCTTTTGTGATCTGTCTTTGAGGTCTGTACGCTGGACATCAGGACATTGTAATGCATGGCCATGTTCCTTAGTTGTTGCTATGCAGGTGGATGGGTTTTCTCTAGGTACCTCTATGCTGGGACAGGTTCAGTGCTTTATTTAATGAAGGGCAGAGGCTTTGATTTTGGGCTGGTTTCTTGGTAACCTGAGCAGCTGGTGAGTCTTCAAGTCTGGGGTTGTTAAAAGGTTTGTGATTACTGTTGTGATGATCCTGCTGCTCACAGAGGGTGTTTCTGTGCCCCGTGCACAGCATAATGTACAACACTAGCTGTCTCTGACTGCAGGATCACATCCTCATGACCTTGCTGTGTTTCGTCTCTTGAGTCAAAATCATTTAGTAACTATATATGTGTAGACCTATATATCAATGCCAATTAAAGACCAGTTTTTCCAATTCTCATTACTGTAATGCATCTGATTTTTTTTGCTTTTGTGTTGACATCCTTAATAGCTTTTTTTTAAATTCCCTATTTTTTTTTCCCCCACTAGATTATTTTTATTTTTGTGTGTGTGTATATATATATATATATATATAGAGAGAGAGAGAGAGAGAGAGAGAGAGAGAGTGTGAGTGAGTGAATGAATGAATGAATGAATGAATGAAGCAAAAATTGCTCTGTTTTTGGCTGTTTTACTTATTTTGTCTTTCTGAGTTTAAATGTTTGAAGAGTGGACAATGGGATTTGATTGGATCATAAAAAGGAATAATACCTACATGATTGTTTTGGTCATTATTGCATAACATTATTTCATAGCCTGCAGAAATATCACAGGTTTCATGAGATTCACTCATATAAATGATTAGAACCTTGGCTGCTGGTGAATGCGTAGCACTTGGGCATTTTCTGAATGGTTAAAAATTGCAGTTATTTAATACAGCTGGAGTTCATAAGTCTATGGCCAACATCCAAATGGCCAGTGATCATTGTCTCAACAGATGTGGAGTCATGAGTTAGTATGATGGATGAAATTGTGGTTGAGGTTTTTATGAAAACAGTGATCGATGGATTTCCTGAATTTCCTGAAAGTCTCCATTTCATAATTACATTTTATTATGATTTAGTTGAATTTAGTTGAATCTGTTTTTGATGACGTTGTAACAATGGAGGTTTGTGTTATTAGTCCCATATGGCTCGTTCCATATTATTAGAGGCAACAAATCTATTTTTGGACATATAACAGCATTGGTTAGAGAAGAAACTGTGCTTTCACTGTAGCTAGTTTCTTTGGATGGATCATTATGTTGGTATGATTGTTTGATGCCAAAATAATTTAGGCATATCTAACAATAGGATTTCAGAATGACAATTTAGACAATACCTGCTTTCTATAAGCGTTACTAACTGTATCCAGTCTAATCAAACTTTACCTTGTCTTGCAGCATTTTCAGCTGGCATTGATTGACTCCACACCCTGCACTTTGTCCAAAGCTGAAAGTAAGTACCCTCCAATGCGTGTTCATTTTTATTACATATCTTTTTATTAGGAAAATGCATTGTCACATTATGCATGAGGTTTTTTTTAGCAGCGAAGTGTGGTGTCTCATTGAGAGGTTTTTATGGGAAAAAGGAATATTTCCTCAATTAGATTTTTTTCTCTTACCATTTCCATCCTGCGTGAGACACCAGTTGCCAAGGAAACTGCATGACTGGATTCTGCCGTGTGTTGCCTTGCATACGGGCAGTAATGACATGCTTGAATTGCACCAAGGGCAAGCTAATATTCTTCCTTCCTGGTGTCTGTACACCCATAAGCTGAAACAGTGAAGACCAAGAACGCTGGTTTAATTTTGGCCTGATATCAGATTTAAATGCATTGTTTCCATTTGAAAAGGATTTCCGGTATTGATCAGTTCTTCTTTTTGTCCCTTCAGTTCAGTTCCACATCGCTCATGTATATGAAATTCAGGTGAGTGTTCCCCTTTTTTGTCACATTTTATCAGAATACACAGTGTTTCGTTGATACTCATGTTTTGGGGTATAATGCTCTATTGGTTCTGTATGGTAGATGGCAACAGTGACTGTTTGCTTTTACAGAGACCTTGTTTCCTGAAGTAAATTCCAATCCATAGACTTTAGTCATCATAGATACCCTGTTTAATTTGAAGCAAATGAAGATAAGGCTATGTGGGATAGGCAAAGGATGTTGAATCTGCGATGTCAAACATTTAGATGACAAATCTGAAAGAAAAAAATTTACTTATTATTTACATTCAAACTTTTATTAGCAGAAATTGTGTATTGATATATTAACTTAAACATGATTTGTTACGTGATTCCAGAGGTTTCAAGAACCATATGTTAAGTATTGTATTGAGTACATATTGAGGAGGTGGAAAAAGAAACATGTAAATATGATTTTCTGTGTGTGTTTTAGCATTTAAATAGTTATTTTTAATTTATTAAAGGGATATTTCCCCCAAAATAAAAATTGTCATTTACTCACCCTCATGTTTTTCCAAACCTGTATGAATTTCTTTCTTTTGTTGAACACAAAAGATATTTTGAAGAATAGTAACTAAACTGGTAGCCATTGAGTTCCATAGTATTTTTTTTGCTTACTATGGAAGTCAATGGCTTCCAGCAACTGTTTGGTTACCAACAATCTTCATATTCTTTTGTGTTCAACAGAAGAAAAACTCCTGCAGGTTTGGAACAACATGAGGGTTAAGTCATTTTGGCTGAACTATCCCCTATATGCATTCATTTAACCCTTTAACTGTCACCCGTGCCCTCTGTGGGACGCCTAAGTTTACTTCACTATATTACAATTAAATCCTAATCTAATCATGGCAAACTATATATCGTTGGAAAGGTCTAAGACTCCTAAATAGATGTTTTACCAATGTTTTTGTTCAAAATTATGTAGGAAAAGTAATAGATTAATTTATGACAAGAGTGCACCTCAAAAATCTACATCATAACAGGAGTTCTGACCTTTGTCAAAAGTCTTCTTTGTTGCCTTTTTCTCCATCTCACTTTAGAAATCATCAGAAATTATATATCAATTGAAAACTTTAAATCTCAAAATTCATCCTTTGAAACCCATTTTAAAATCAAACATTGCATTACCATGAAAATGGTACATCAATATCATGTTACAAAATTTTTTCGTTCATGAATTATAACAATGTAAGTTTGGATCGTGCACTTTCACGTCTGTTCAAAAATGTGAGTGACAGTTAAGGGGTTAAATGAACACTTTTTCCCAATTTTAGAAACATTTTAGGAATTCCCAATGAGATCTTCATATTTGACCGTTTTTAGCATTAAAAGAATTGAAAATGCATGCCGCAAAGCATTGAAAATTTAATAAAATTAGACGTTATTAGTTGTTTGTTTCAGAAAACACTACCCAACATTACTTTCAAAACATCCAATTCCCTGCAAAAACGGCACTACTACTTGCCATCACTATTTTCATGCTACCATCAGCTTGTCTGTTTAGTGAATCTTGTGATTTCACTAGTACTTCATATGGAATTGCATTTTACACTGTCGGGACCCTACTGTTGTGTTCTGTTGGCATTGTAAATGACTGCTTGTAAAGGTGCAGGTTCTAGAGGTTACAGGGCAGTGTTGTTGGTCCAGGGGTTTTCTTTTGCTCACAGTTTACTGCTCCTGCCCAAACATACACTCTTGATTGATGGATTTGTTTCTAGGGCGCCACCTTGACATTGTGTGTGTTCAACGAACTGATCCCCACCCTGCCCTCCTGCTTTTGCTTCAGCTTGCCTTTAGTTAGTCTCTTGTCACTCAGTCAGTCCTTTCTGTTCAACTAGCATAGTTCTTATCCACCTAGCCTTAAATGAAAATGTAATGCAATTGTATTAACAAATTTACATACTCTTTGTTTCTATCAAAACTTTGCTGTAAGCAATGATGACTGCACTAACCAGCCAGCCAAAGCCTAAGTTTTACAATAGGTTGATTTTATTGTCCACCACACACAGATGAGATTGCTTTTAAGTTGTTAGACCATGTGTGTTTGGAGTTGTGCTGCTCAGGTTGGTCATTTATGGTGGTCAGCCATCAGCCCCAGCAAAGATCTGTGTCAAGGTCACTAAGAAAAACAAACACTTATTCTGAGAGTGCTTCTCAAGTTACACTGATACAGAGCATGCCTCTGTTTGTCTGACTTGTTAAGTCTAGTCTGGTCTGGACTGACCCTCCCCCCTGTGTCTGTTTGTGTGTTTGTCTGTCTCCTCCTGCGTCCCTGTGTCTGGCCTGGTCAGTGTCCAGTGTGTTTCCTCTCTTCCGGAGACCATACATTGTGGTCAGTTTGATGAGGCCCTTTGTGTCCACCCTGAGGGGCCGTAAAAAAGCGCTGACCCTTTTGTCTGTTAAAACATCTCTCCCCTTCTCTGTCTGTCTGCAGAAGAAATACCGCATCGCTAAGGAAGCTTACGAGAGTCTGTTACAAACAGAGAATCTCCCTGTGCAGGTGAAGGCAACTACGCTCCAACAATTAGGTGAGTGTGTTTTACTTGCTTCCAGCTTCCCACAGTCATGGAAAACCTGGAAATATCAGAATTTGTGAATTGTATGCCTGGAAGAGTCATGGAAGTTAATAAAATAAGTCATGGAAAAGTCCTGATTTCTGTCATCAAATATTTTTCTAGTTATACTCAGCTATTAAATATTTCATCAACTGTAAATTACTGTGTAAATTGCAGTGTTCATAAAATGATCTTAAAAATCCATCCAGTGATCACAACCAGCTGGAAAAAGTTATGAAAATTCATTGGTCAAAATGTATGGGAACCTGGGCTTCTTATGTAGATGATTGTTTGCTGTGTGATTTTAATCTTGATTAGTCACACTTTCTGCACAGATTTTGCATACAAGATCTGGATCCGATTGTGGTAATAAGGAATATATGTGGCAAAATATGGTAAATATTACTGTCTTGTTGGGGGGAAAAATAGCATACCAGAGGGAGTGGATGTTAATTTTAACTGGCATTTACATTTTTGGAATTCTGCACAGCTGTTTGTGGAATTCTGCAGCTACAAATTCCACAGATTTGTAATGAGGTGTATTTTGAAATACATTGTAAATTCTTTAAAGAGAGAATATTTCATTTAGGTTTTTGAATAATTTTTACAGGTTAGGTAATTGTTCATCATAAGTCATTCATTTAGAGTTCAGACAGTCCTCACTAATGTATTGCATCATGCCATCTCCCCAAGTGCTGCTAGTGGTGTTCTCAATAACAGCATCCCCAAATGTACAGTCCAGGTTTTCTAAGATATGCTCCAGTTCTTGAGGGTGTGCAATTTTGCCAGATGCAATAGCTAATAATGAATGTGCAGATTGCTTTTGGGATACCATGGTGTGGTTAGAAATCTGAGCTAAGAGCAATCCATAAACTGGAAAGTGGCACCAATGAGCAAAGCACTCCAGGATGAAGCGGTCTGCAAGGTACTTTGGGTTAAAGGCATCAATAAATCATGAAATTATTTAAATAATTGGCACAATTGTGAGTTGTGAATCCTCACACCGAGCTTCTTTCTGTTGCTAGTCCCAAAAGAAAGCAAAAAAAAAACCTACTGCCATATAACCATTGCCACGTTGCTCCTGCAATTGTCGGCAGTGGTCTGGTTGCTGTAGTAACGTGTCCCGGGTGCAGGCGTTTGCCACAGGTGTTAAGAGCTCGGCTGGGATCAGTGTCTAGGAGAAGCCAGGCCACATGGGGGAAATTCTTTGTCTGCACAGCGTCTCGTTCTCCTTAACAACCTCTGGCTGGCTGGGAATGGAGAGGAGAGGGGCTGTTTGGACAGAGCCATCTCTGCTGGGACCTTTTGAAGCTGCTGGTGGTAGTAGAACCCCCCCCCCCGATCCTACTCTACCTCATCTCCCCACCCTACCCTGAAGACAGCAAGAACAAACCATTTGCTCCCTTTATGAGTACCAGTGTAACAGCCTCCATAGTGCACACTGTGGCTTTGTGTTGGGGGAGAGAGTGTTCTAGTTGTTTTGTTAAGAATGCAATTTCTTATTTAATCCTCATGTTTCCCATCGCTCCCTCAGGCTGGATGCATCACACGGTCGAACAGTTGGGAGATAAAGCCAACAAGAACAGCTATGCTATTCAGTGTCTGCAGAAGTCCCTAGAAGCAGACCCCAATTCGGGACAGTCTTGGTACTTCTTGGGCAGGTAAGCAAAAATGTACCCGAATTAAATTAAATTCCACTTCCACATACATTACATTGTTTTTGTTTTTTTTTATTATAATTTTTTTTGTAACAATGCATGGTTTGAAATTACAATATTGAAGTTATATATTGAATAGATTTATCCAAACATTTTGGCTTGTGTCCTAAAGTAGTCCTGCCAAGTTGTTTAATAAAACTGAGACTCTTTTTAGTTTGTGTAGCTCAAACTTTTCAAACGATGCATGAACTGATTAAATGTATATCTTGAATCCAGTGTAATTTGCTGAAAGTGTCTTGTCAAATGCATAAACATAAATATAATTCTTAAATTTAAGCTCTACCACTCATGTGCCAGATTTGAGGTGTTTTTGCTTGTCATGCAGGTGCTACTCAAGTATTGGGAAGGTCCAAGATGCCTTCATATCTTACCGACAGTCTATTGATAAGTCTGAGGCCAGTGCAGATACATGGTGCTCAATTGGGTAAGCTCTTAATGATTGTTGTTTATCATGTTAAGCTGCTGCCATTTATTATTTATGTGCATTTCTTGCACATTAAAGTGAGGCACATGTTGTTTGCATGTTTTTTTGGTAGCTGGGTGTAAATGGGGTCATTTGGGGCTGATGTTGCCTCAGGCTTGGTTTATATTGCTCTCAGGGGAGAGACAGAAATGCTCAAGACATTTAAGCTAAAGCGTTCACCTCAGAGCTCTGTAATCAACTTCTTCTCACCATCCTAACACTTAAAGCGACCATGTACAAACACAACTTTGTCCTATCGCCGATAGGTTTCCGAAACCCTTTTACCATATTGGACCACAAGGAACCTCCCGAAATGTCAGCAAAGCTAATCAGAAAATAAAAAAATGGTACATTTGTATATAGTTGTTACTAAATGCTGAAATGTTTTGAAATGTTTGTGTATTGCACATCAAAATAGAAACCAAGCAAACAGCACAAACGTTTCTACACCATTGTTGTCATTTGTGGCTTGTCGTGACAAAATCTTATATGGAAGATATGAATTGTTGCTTGATGCGTTATCCTGTGGCAGCTAGTTAGGAACCATCTGTTTGTTTAGCTTTGCCTTGTTTACCAGTCCTCTCTGCTGTGCTTGTGTTTCCAGTGTGTTGTATCAGCAGCAGAACCAGCCGATGGATGCACTGCAGGCATATATTTGTGCAGTGCAACTGGACCACAGCCATGCGGCCGCCTGGATGGACCTGGGCACACTCTACGAGTCCTGCAACCAGCCGCAGGATGCCATCAAGTGCTACATCAATGCCACGTGCAGCAAGTCCTGCAGTAACATCCCAGCTCTAACCGCTCGCATCAAATGCCTCCAGGTAGAGAAAGTGCTTGCACTTGATGTTATCAGGAGAGGAAGTGTACATGTTTCATTTTAATGTGCCTATCATTGTGTTTTTCATTCGGGAAGATTGTGAACATTGTTCGTTTTTGAGTTCCTTCCTGTTTGAGTTGAATCACGTCCCCATGTCTGACATATTATACACTGAGGATGATATGAGTGTCATTTTCATCTGTGATTTCATGCCTACCACCATTGCATTGTCTTAAGC